ATTTTCAGTAACTAATTATAGTGAAAATCAATTTATAACTATAAATATTATCTTTTTTTAAATTTTTCTAAGAAACTTTACAATAATATATTTACAACTTATTTAGTTACAAATTATTGCAAATATAACAAACAAAAAACGTTGTTTTGTTATAAAACGTTGTAACAAAAAATGATAATTGAAATCTAAAATTATCTGAGTTTTAGTTTATCAAATATATACATATTATATATGATATTATTTTTCTAAATAATTTATATACTGTTTGGTTTAAAAATTATTCGTTCATTTCATACATTTAAAACAATAACTTTAGTAATAAATCTTTTGATTTTATGTTTAATGTTTTACATTTCTCTTCATAATTCATATTATTATACAATTAATTTTATAACAAATATCTTTAAATATTTTTCTTTGAATTGATTCAATATTACTTTCAGTTACATTAGGTATTATACAAATCAAAATAATCAATTATAGGTAATATATAATTATTATAGAGTTTTACTAATATAGTAATAAGTTGATACATAATATGATAATTTTGTTTTATAAATATTATATTTTGTAACATCTATTAAATACATAAATATGTTATCAAAATATTGCAAAATATCATATGATTTAAATTATTTAATACATTTCTATAGTACTCTATATTACATCGTTTTATGTGTTTTGTTCAATAAATAATAAATTATAAATCATTTTAAAAGTCACTATAATGTTGCAACAAAATACTGATAAGCTATAGTAAGTTAGACATTGTTATAAAAATATTTGTAAAATTCACTTTTTAATATTTTATAAATTATACAAATATATAAATAAAAATAAGCTTTTATAAACAATAATATTGTTAAATAATTATTTAATCAAATAATATTCAGTAATATAGAATATTCTGTTTAATATTATCTTATTTTATTTTTTAATTATATTTACATATTTTTCCTCTTTAAGTATTAAATAAATATAATTAAAAAATAAAATAATATTAAACAGAATATTCTAAATTACAGAATATTATTTGATTAAATAATTATTTAACAATATTATTTTTATTAATATATTATTAAAGTAAAAAATAATTGAAAATTATTTAATACTCAAAATATAAATTAATAAAAATATTTGTATAAAAATATATACAATATTAACAATATTGATTTATGCTTAATAAATTTCATTATTGTGTTCCTAATAAATTGAATTGTTTCATTTACTTATGTAAACAATTGTTTTATTATAGTCCACAAACCAAATTAAATATACACATAATATGTAATTATCTCAAAGTGTTTATTCTAATACTATTAGTATTGTTACTATTATTGACATTACACATGACTATATTCACAATTTGGACAGTAGTTTAAATGTTTATTACTAACTTTGTTAATATTATTATTATTATTGGTATGGCTCTCATATGTATAGTTTATTTAAATGACAGTTCAATAATAATCAACAAAAACTTTGAATGCATTGAATGGCAGACTAGCATTGCAATTGTGATAAACACATTGACAATAGTATCCGTATTGATAGAAATTTATTTTATTTTTGGTACCATAAAACTAATCAATTGATTTGGTTAGTGTCTCCCGCGAGTCATATATATAATCTATATAAAAATATACAAATATATATACGATATATACAACAACAACAACTCTGTAATAATGATAGTAAAATAATAATAGTATTAATAGTATTATTAATACAGTGCATAACAATGTGAATGATAAATAGTATTGTCGTTTAGAGAGACTCTCATTTTTTTCTAAGTTTTGTTATGTTATGTTTTATATTGAATTTATATATTTATATTTATACTCTTTCCTTTTGGTTCATCGTTAACCCTATTGTATTGTAAATATCAAGGTTAGCTATATATTAAAATAAATTATATTGATATAGATGTTCACAATGCATATACATAATATTCTATGTTTTATAACTCTATTATAAATTTATATCACATGTTTAAAAATTTTTGTAAATTTTGATATGCATAATATGAATATGTATTATTTAGTTTATAATATTTTTACTACATATATGATTACACGGTTAATGAGTAACTGAAAGTGCTGTCTTAAATTAATTATATCATTAATGAGTTGTTTTTTTTGTTTGTTTTTCATTATATTTTACATATGCCTAATGACACAAATTGATTGATTAAATAATTTAAGTTATATTAGATTTTCTTTTTGTTGTTGTTATTGTTGGTGTAAAGTATTAACATAATAAAAATCTTAGTAAATAATTTATTCATAGTTAAATATATATATATATAGTGAAGATAAAAATATCTAAAATTTACTTTCATTATAATTAAATGTAATTAAATAGAAAATTCTAATAAATTTTTCACTAACAGTATTTATAGTTTTGAAAAAAATAATTAATCTATCAATAGATTACTAGTTAACTAGATTATTATGAATTACTAGATAACTATCAATATTAGATAATATAATCATTTTTATCAGAAAAAGTATACAAAACTATTGCAAAACTATTTCAATTAAACTATTGTAAGTTATAATGATTTGTGATGACATCGTATAGTTAACACTACAGTAAATAACAAATATATAAATATTAAATACTTTATGTTCATTATATATCATATATACTGTATTTAATGATTTTTAAAATAAAGTGTACAATAAGTCTATATTATAAAATATTTATACACTAAAAAAATTATTTAATTAAATTAAATTTTTAATATATTTAATATATTATTATAATAAAAAGTAAAAATTGATTTATGAAAAAAATCATGTAATATAAAAATTATAAATATTATTACTACAACGAAAAATATATAATTTAGATGAAATTTTAATATTGTTTATAATAAGAGAATTTTTCAAAAAATAATTTTTCAAAATAATATAAAAAATTAAATTATTTGCAAAATTAACTTTAATCTAAAAACAAAACAAAAATGAATATTAAATATGATGTTTTTAATTTATATTTATACAAAAATAATACAAATATTAAATTAAATTAGTATATAAAAATATTTGTAAAATTTATATTCAAGTTTTTCAAATGTAATTGAATTTTAATTAAAAATATTTTTTCAAATAAATAAAATTTTCAAAAAATAGTTTGACTAATATATTTTATGATTTTTTAGCAAAATTTAATTATTATATCATTTATAATAAAAAATAATTTAACATTAATTTAAATAACTATAAGATTAATAGATTGTTTTGCTATAAACGATATATTTATTTCAACTAAAGATTGTTAATATCTTACTATAAACTAATGACATTTGACTAAATTTATCATTTTGTTTATGACATTTACATTTGACATTATTATATAAATAAAATATATAAATATTGCAATTTTGTCACAACTGATACAAATTTGTTATTCTTAAATATACAGTATTAGATATTTATAAATATTCATATTTTCCTAATAATATTCCCAATGTTATTAATTTAATAAATTATAATGGTTTACCAAAAATAATGTATTGTTAATATATAGTACAGTATAACAACATATAGTATACTTAAAAAAATAAAGGAAATTTGCACAAATCATATAAACATATATTAGAAAAAGATAATACTGTAATAATAAATATCAAATTTTGTATTCTTTAATTTTTTTTATAAATAAAGTATTTAATTTAATTTAATTCAATTCAATGTATGCATTTTTGTTTTGTTTTCTTATTAATATTTCTTATCTATTTTATATTAATAACGAAATAAACGAAAATACATATTTTAAATTATAATTGCAAATAATATATCAAAAGATTTTTTTTAATTTAATTTGTTTATTAATAATTCATAAGTTAATTTTCTTAATTAATGACAAATTTTATATTGTAGGATATTTTAATTTTTTATAAATTTTGTTCTAATTTTCTAAAAAAACAAAAATCTTAACCTACTATAAAATGACATCAATATAAACGATTTTTAACAATAGTTTAAGAGAGATTAAGCTATGATGAAATGATTTACTAAATATTTTTTTTTGTTTATTATATAACATCAAACTCATGCTAATAAATAGCATAGTATTAATAAATGTCATTCAATGATATACCAGAAAGTAAACCTTATATTTTAATGTATATGCCATCAAAATGATTTAACACTAGAGTTGTTAAATCATTTTTTTAAAAAATAATACTAGATATACTCAATATTTTAGAAATTATAGAAATAAAAGTAAAAATTTATTTTTTTAAATATGATTTTAAAAATACTAAAAACTTATTTTTATTTCAATTTTTTTTAAATGTCATTTTTTAGAAAATGTTGAATTGTTTTAAGTAAAATACTAGACGTTTAACATAACTATTTTACAAACATACAGTACACACAATTCTAATTTTATTTAACTAATATGTATTTCAAACAATTTTTTTATTTATTTTTTTATTATTATTTTCACTCAACAATTTAGACATTTTCTGTAATAGGATTAAAAAAAAGCAAAACTAAACAAAACCAATAAAAAATGAAATATTGGTAAAACCTATCCTTCATCTTATAGTTGATGACATGTAAAACCAATTGATAAAAAAAAGTGAATTACCAAATAATCATCTTTATTGACATACCAGTGCAGTACTACTACTACTACTACTACTACTACTACTACTACTACTACTACTACTAAGATCATCACTTCACTACCAGAGATCTATTGATAAAAAAATAATAATAATAAATATCAGTTTACGCTTCAAATCATTTTGACTTTAAATTGATATTTAATTTTTTACAGGCATTTATAATGAGTTTGTTTGTGTGTTTGAGTGTAAGTAAAGTAAACAAATAATGGGGTGAAATAAGCAAATAGTAAGCAACTCTATTGCTGGGTTTGATTTAATGCTAAATTTGTTTTTATTTTATTTTAAAGATGATTTTATTTTTATTTATTTATTTAATTTTTTTTTTTTGAAAAACTAGTTTATGATGAACTCCTTATACATGCAATTTGATGACACATTGGTATATCACACGTACATCATGTAGGAAGTGTCGGTTTTTTTTATATATCATACTTTACTTTAATAATTATACATAATATCACTTTTTCAGGTGCAAAATGATATTTAATTAAGTGTGTTAAATTTATCGTAATTATATTAATTAATAAATTTCAAAACTTTATTATTATTATTTGTATGATGATAGAGTCAGTTATTCAATTTTATATAACAATTTACAAAATATAATCGGATAAAATAAACTATTTTGAAAAATTCAATATAATCTATTGTATGTGTCAATAATACTGTATAATGTATTTATAATGTGATTGATGACAATTGATATATATATTGTCTCACATTTGTGTCACACTTATAATATAATATACAATAGTAATAGTATTTTAGATTAATTCTCTGATCAATGGAAATATTATTTTTATAGACAACACAACTAAGTAATGCAAAAAAAATTATAATTTCATAAGTTTTTTCTTATTTACAGAATCTTATGATAAATGAGTCAAAATTAGATAATTAAAAGTAAATTTAACGTAAAATTTTTTTCTGATCTTTGTTTTGGTGATTAAACTTCATTTATATTTTTTTGTTAAGCAATAGTTTTTTTCTTATATTGTAATTTAATGTTTTAATATGAGATAGTAAATATATATATTTTATAATGAAATGATCCTAATTTTTTTGTGGATCAGATTTTATCATTTATTTTTTACATACAGCTATAACTTATATATTTTTTGTATTATGTCTTTTTTTTCGGTGCAAACCATGAAAAATCAATTCCGGTATTAAATACTCTTTAAAATCTTATAAATCTTATAATATTACTGTAATAATAAATGTCTTGTAATCTTGCATTGAATTTTAATGCCGAAATACACACACAATACAATATAACTAAGAGTTGTAAACTTTGATGGCATTATAAATATAAGTTATTTGTTAAATAAGTTTTTTATTTTTCAAAGTTTATTATCATAAAAAAGTGAAAGTAAAATATAATACTTTATTGTGGAGTTTTAATAAAAATATATTGAATGAAAAATGAAATTTTGTGTTAGTTTTGTATTTTAATTATTATTTATTTAATATTTTCAATATTTTTGTTGTTGTTGTTGTTGTCGAAAGTTTCTAATTTATTTTCCAAATTATTAAATTATATTTTTAGATACTTTTACCGTTTATTACAATTTTTACTTTAACTGAGTGTTCATTGAGAGACAACGGTTACAGTTCTAGACTAACTGATCGTCCACAGAGATACAGGAGTCGAGCACCGGTATCATACAGTAGAAGTTCTGGTTATGGAAATAATGGGTATATAATTGTTTTATTGTTGACATAATTTTATTATTTCTTTTTCTATTATATCTAAAAATAATAAACAGTTATATGGGAATACCATTAAAGAGATTAACCTACAAAAGCCCGGTCCGAACATACAGACCCCGCGTCCGTGTGTATCGATCCCCGAAACCTACCTATCAGTCTAATAATAATTATAATAATAATAACTACGGTTCACCGCAAGTTAACTATGGTAATAGTAGAGCACCATTACCACCAATGCCACAACTATTTGGCTCATACTCCCGGTCCTCATCATATAACGGTCCCCAAACCAGTTACGGCAAATCCTCATATTCTCGTCGTCCGCCAGTGTCGATGAAGTCATCCTATTCAAGCACATCGTACGATGGTTTAGATAATAGTGACAACTATTACGATAATATGGATCAGGAGTATAACAGAGCAGAGCTAATGGCTCCTCCAGTCGATAGTGGATACGAGTATATCAACGACAAGAGATATCAATCGGGACTCGCAAACGGTGAGTACGAAGAGTATGCCGACGGAGAAGTCATCGGTTACGATGTGATCGATGCCATTGAAGTGGTCCGCAAACCAGTTAACAAATATGCGGACAATAGTTATTAAAAAAAAATTATTCAATATTTTTTACAATATATTTAACAATAAGCTAAATTCAATACATATAAAATATTTTTTAATAGTAATACTATAAAACTAAATCTAAGTTAATTAATTAATTATATTTTTTTTGTATAACATATACAATACATACTATTTCATTGATACACACATACTGTACATATCAATAAAAATTTAATTAATTAATTTTTTATTTAGTAATTTATATTGTTCTAAAAATTATCTAGATATTGTAAAAAAATATTGGTTAGTCTATTCAAATTTATTAATTATGTATAAACGCACAAATAATTTTTTTTAAAAACTAGTATATATTTATAATTATGTAAATTTATCTTTTTTAAAAAATAAAGTTTTATCATCAGTAATTTTAATTTACTTTATAATTTTTAGATAATTAAATAGTAACAGTAAAATGTAAAAATACATAAAAATTATTTTTTTTAATTTAAATATTTTATTTGTACCATGTACAGTAATATTATTTAGTTGTTACATAAATAATGTCTATTAATTTATATAAATTTAGTGTACATTTGGAAAATACATTTTGAACGCATCATTAATACAAAACTTTACGTTATTTTACATAACAAATATGCCCTAAATTTTTATAATAGTTTAATACATAAAAACTTTACACAAACATAGAAAAAACATAACAGTATTTACTATTAATAAAAATCACTGTATTTTTTGAACTATTTATAAATTAGAGAAAAAAATTAAATGTTTTCCAAATGTATATAAATTTATCACAAAAATACTGTGAAATAAATTTAGAAAATACGACTCATTTGGTCCTATTTGTTACTATTGACTATTTGATTGAATCTGTTTAATGAATTGAATGTTTAATTTTGACTGTTATGTAAAAAAGTCGGAATTTTTTGTTGTTTTCATTATTATAGCAAAGAGTTATTTATATTTATATTTACATTGTTTTTGTGTTATTGTTTTGGACATCAATTTCCAAGAGTGACACCACTTCTGTGTGTCTGTAATAGTGATCCCCGAAAAAAAACATCGGTATAAGTGGTCATATGTTTCATAACAAGTCAGGCCAACCACCGAAAGGCGGTGGCGGACGACGCGACCGAAGCAGAAGTCCAATGTCTGGCCGCGGCGGTGGAGGCCGGCCTACGGGTGGACCAACCGGTACAAGACATGGTGCTCGGGTGCCAAACATGAACAACCGATACGACGATCGCAACCAATTTGGTCCGCCATCACTACAACAGCTACCGCCACCTCAGATGCCGGACGAACCGATTGTTGGCAATGAGGCCGAGATTATAGTCGTTGAAAGAGATCAATGGTTTGTATTTTTATGAGAGAAACGGAAAAACATATTCAGTACAGACTTATTAATCAATTGATCTCTTTTTTTTTGGTCAGGAGTTACGCCGATATGATTGAAAAACGGGTAAAAAGCGAAACCGGTATCCAATACTGCGATATGTTGTTCCTTCACACACCTGACAGTCTCAATATGACACTCAACGACCTCTTTGACAGGTCTGTCCCATTTCGGGACAAAGTTTTATCTAATATTATATAATATTCATTAGTAATAATAAAATTTGTGTCCTTTACTACTCCCGATAGACAAACACTGTACGCTATAGTGGTAGCACCGCTTAACGAAAAGCACCGGTCGATTACCATACATGTACTACACAATCAAACCGGTAGGTGTGATCAGTTACCCGAGTAGTCTATTTGGTTCGTATGTTTGCAAAACTAATTGGATTTCATGTGTAGAGCACCGAAATATGCCGCTTGAAGACGCTCTTCAACTGTTAACCAAAGATTTTATGGCATTTACTGGTCGTTCGGGTCCGATTGGCGGTCCTCCACCATCACTTCCATTGCCACAACTACCACCATCAGTAGCCGCTACACCGCTGAAGACAACAGTTTCACAATCGTACGGCAATTCGTTACCCGAAGACGTGGCCTACTTGTTAAGGACAATACTGTCAGAAAATGGACCACAATTTCTATCATTAGCTCAAATTGATATCCTTATTGAGTATTTTGAAAGACATAAGTCTCGGCTAACGTGTGGTCGTCCAGTGGCCAAAAGTAATAGTGCCACCGGTGAAGGCAAGGAACATGATATAGAGAAACAAAAGGCCACACTGTTGGAGAACCCGCACGTTCAGGCGGCATTATCATCTCTCATACAAATCGGTGCCCTGACCTCTGGTACCGCAACCGCTTTGACCGCTACAACCACCAACACAATGATAGGTGTTGGCTATACAAATCAACCGCAAAACAACGGTTTTACAGTTGCGGCGCCGGTCACAGGTGTTAATCAACAGCCGCGCAGACATCCATTGTTTGGCACTGAAATACGACAAACGGTTCCCAAACAAGAACCACTACCACCACCACCACAAATGATACAACCAGTGCCGGCACCTGTACCACCTGTTGGAGGTACCGCTGCCGGACTGATTCGATATCCACCACCACAATCATACAGTCAATACTATCAGCAATACTATTGATAATAATTGACGTGTTATTGTTTCTCCCCATTTAATTTCATTATTTAATTGATTATTTTTACATCAAATTTATTTTTTTCGACACTATGTGAAACAAAATAAAAAAAACTAGTTTTTAGCGACACTTTTTAATTAAATGGCATTTTTTGTTGGTTTAATTTCTCTTATCTTTTCAAAAAAATGTAAAACATATGAACTTATCGTAATTTAATTAAAAAAAAAGTTTTTTTTAAAGTATTATTTATATATTTAATATTTACATATATATAAAATATTTATTAATATTATACAGTACATATAATAATAATAAGTTTATACAATTTAAAAAATAAATAAATTAAATACTAATATGACAAAAATGCTTTTAAGCTCATGTATAATTAGGATACTCGCTTATTGTATAAACTATTGAGATACTAAACAAAACAATTTTGATAATATTGAATCAATTTATCTAAAAGAAATTATATAATTTATAAAAATTGACATGTTTACTTTTAGTTTATTAAAAAATAATAAATTTTATATAATTAGATTTATAGTTTTGTTGATGATTAGGATATAAATACGAAATGAATGTTTATTATAAAAAATATGAATTAAATTTATTAATAATTATTCAAATAATATAAACAATTTTAAACATATTTTGATATATATTTTATATTGAGTTCGAGAAACTTCATACGGGATCTTCACTAATAAATTTCCTCTAATTTTTTCCAGAAAAAATATTATTTTATTTACCCTCACTTAACCCATTAGAGTATAAAATAGATTTTGTAAAAAAACTAAAAAATACCATAACTCAGATATTTAACATAAAATTTTGTTGAAATATTAAAAAATTAATTTGAATTTAATAAATTTAGTAATTTTATTAGACTATAGCATCTAATATTTAATTTGATATAATATTTGTTTTTGTAACCTTATGTAGTAAAAAAATATATATAGAATTTATTATAAATTGTTTATATTAATTGAATTGTTTGTAAATTTAATTCATTTTTTATAATAAACATTTTTATTCTGTGTATACTATGTCTCTCTATCCCTCAAAATGATTTAAAGGTATAAAGTATACAACTATTATATTATATAACAATTAGTTATAACGTATAAATCGCTTAATAGATATGAATCATATGATATCCGACCGTTTAATAGTTGTGTTACGTGTGCGACAAGAGATGTCAATTGTAATGAAATTTTTAAAAATATTTTGTATAATTATTTTATAATTAGTAATATTATTATATAATAACTAAATTAATATTATCAATAATGTTGAACATACATATACTGTAATCATTTAGTAATATTTTACATCAAATCTAAATAATACAAAAGTATTAAACTATTTACTATAGTATTGATAACTTACTGTACTATTTATGATTTTAGTAGTATTAGTAGTAGTAGTGACTTAAAAGTGACCTTAAATTGTCTGAATGTTTATCTGATTAGATTTTTTTATCATTTTAAACAAACGAAAAAAAGCAAATACTATATATCATATCATAACATGTTTTTAATTTCTTTGAAATCATTTTTATGTAATTATTTCACATTTTTGTTTTGTTGTATTAGTTTATTATGATCATCAAAATTGCATTTATTAATTATATTTATGATTTTATATAAATAATCATATAAATATTTCTTATCAATTGAATACACATTAAAAAATATTGTCTATTTTTTAAATGAAATCACTATAATTTGATTATATAAAACAAACAATTTTTAATGTGTTTGGTTATCAAATAACAAAAATTGTTTTTTGATTTAATATAAAAAAATTATATAAATCAATAATTAGGATAAATTTTTATTATTGATTATGTATTAAACAGTGGATTCATTTTACATTAGCAAAATAATCACATGAAAACTACATAAAAAATATGATCATTACTTTTTTTTTAAAACTGGTATTTTCACAAATACATGTGACTTAAACTTATTTTGAAAGATAAGATATGATAAATATGTGATATGAATATTATTATACCGGTTCCTCTACTAAAAAGGCCAGTCTATCTCTTGAGCTAACAGTTCAATATAATACCATATGTGTAATATATGTTTATAACTAGAAAATCTATTTTAATTAATTAATATTTATAATTACAGTACACTTTACTCGTTGATTGAGTTAAAATTACAAAAATTATTAATAATAATAATTTTAACAGCTTTTCAAATGGATGGCAAAAAAATTTTGGGCTCAAATATTGCCAAAGAGTTTATGTAAGTTATTAGTAATTTCTAAATAAAATATATAAATTATAAAATATTTTTAATTATTGACTTGTAATACAATCGCATATTTCAATATAACTTTCCGTTATATACTTTCTAATAAATAAGGCTTAAAAATATATAGTAAATTATATTTATTGATTAAAAATATATTGTAATATATTTTTATTTAATATTAATAATATTTTAGTTAATTAAATTTGTATAAATTTTTAATATATTGAAATTAAAAATATGTTTTAATTTTTTTATTTTACTAGAAAAGAATTACAAAAAACAATATATGAAAACAAAATCGACGTAAAATTGGTGACATTTTTGGCCAATGATGATCCGGCGGCTGAAAAATATGCCGAAGTGACAGCCAAAGCCTGTGCCGAAACTGGTGTCAAATATGAGTTGAGGAAAATCAATCGGGAGATACTCGAGGACGCTATCATTGAGGCGAACAACGACCCGATGATTCACGGCATACTTGTCTACTATCCGGTATTCGGCGGCGGTCACGACCAGTACATCCAAAACTGTGTCAATCCGGCCAAAGATGTCGAAGGTCTGTGCCATACCTATCGGTTCAATATGTATAACAATCGCCGCTTTTTGAATGGTGTTGAGTCACTCAAGTCTATCATCCCGTGCACACCGTTAGCCGTGGTTAAGGTTTGGCTAATAAGATCTCATTTAATTAGAGAAAATTATTTAATTACTATATATGTATGTCTTTATAGATTCTTGAATATTGTAATGTGTATGATATGAACAAGTCTTATGGCAATCATTTGAGTGATAAGATTATCACAATAATCAATAGAAGTGAAGTAGTGGGTCGACCACTGGCCGCCCTGTGCGCCAATGACGGCGCCAAAGTGTACTCCATAGACATCGGCGATATACTAGAGTTTGATAGAGGCCACAACTTGCAACTCCCGAAATATCGGGTACACGATAGCGACAAACGCTTAGAAGACATTCTGCCGATCAGCGATGTTGTAGTCACTGGTGTACCGAATCTCAAATATAAAGTGTCCACCGATTTACTCAAACCGGGCGTTATTGCCATCAATTTTTCCAGTTGTATGAACTTCGAGGACAATGTCGTGTCGCGGGCGTCCATATTTGTGCCGGCAATCGGTAAAGTGACCACAACTATGTTGCAGAGAAATCTATTGAGACTGAAGAAGCATCAAATGAATTGGAGTATTAAATATCAAAATCTAACCGATCAGTGATCGTAAAAAATTTGTTTATTGATTGATTCATATCTAGTATTTTTATGCCATAATTTAATATATTGAGAAAAATAATGTTATTTTTATTTTATTACCGTATATACGGTATTGTTATATAATTTTTGTTTTAGTGAAATTATTTTTATTACCAGTTATATCAAAAATGGTATTATAATAACTGTAAATAATAAAACATCAATACAGTGGAAATTAAGATGAAATAAAGTTTAAAATATTATTAATATACAGTAATATACATATTATACTGTAGTATACATTCATTAAAAAAATATATTGTATATAATAATCTTATTTATAATCATATTTATTATAGTAATCGCTGACATTGAGGACAAATCAATTGTTGTCCATCACATCGCAAATACTCGTCAATACATTGAATGTGAAACCAATGACCGCAACAAGTCTTAAGGCTATCATTTGGATCATAAGTCACTCGATGGCTACAAATTGTACAATCGGTACCATTCCGTTCATACCATATATCGAGCAGCGATTCGATCCAATCGTCGGGCATTAAATTAGATGCCAATCGACTATCAATACTATCGTTAACTTTGGCCACAATTTCCGCTACATTTAAAACAGAGAAATCGTAACATTTTTCAGTTCGTTTCATAGCATCGCCGATGATTTCAATTGATAACTTCGGATATCTGTTCTTCAAACATGCCATCACTTGACGGCCTTTTTCACTCAGACTTACCTATAAATGCAAGAAAACATTTACCGTAAGTTTATTAAATAATTAGTAAATTTTAATGACAAAAATACATAGAGTTTACGCTCGCATTCAGTCTTTGGTAACACTTTGATCTCAGTCAATGTCTTCGCAATCAATTCATTGAGTTTACCATCAATTATATATTCGCTGTTTTCATTGACATTCATTTTGTCGTCTATTGGATCAATTTCACAGTTCAACGACAACTTCATTTGTTCAGTATTATCACCGTTTGTGGTGACAATTGTCAGTAATGACCTGATGGCTGGTGTCTTCGTATTAGTCACTTCTTGTCTTTCATCAATATTATTGTTGTCATCATCAGTCTTAGTCATCGATGGTTTAGTATCTATCATATAATCAATAGGTTTATTATTGTCAATCAGTCTAATGTCTGGACTAATATTCTTGACGGGACTAATATCATTAACCGGATGACTATTGACTGGATTATCAGTAATATTGATCACTGTTTTGGTATTCATATTATCATTTGATTCGCATTCAAGAGTATCCTCAACAACATTAACCACAATATCTTGTGTCTGAATAGCTATTTTTGGAACAAATTCATCGATAATCGATTGATAAAACTTCAAGACATTAGGTAAGTCGGGAACTGCCGTACGATCAAACAGTACATCCAAATCGTTGTCAATATCGGTAAAGTCGACGACACCATCGGTGGTCTCATTGACGCGTCGTTTGAGAATCGCTGTCTGTTGTCTTATGTATTTCTTCTGTCGTTTAAACCAATCGGTGGCAATAGTCAACTGTTCGACGAGTGGTCGCAATCTATAGGCCATGTCTTCGTGATTCAAGTATCGGTTGCATTCGTTTTGCATACACTGGCCGTAAGTGTGTAACAAATTTTTGTATAATTCGCACCATTTGTTGGCCAATTTGGTTCGGTTGTCGATGTCCTGCAACTTTAACTGGCGAACACGTGTGGCCATAGTTTCTATCGAATCTTTGAGCTTACGATGAGTGGCCAGCATTCTGGCCAACAGCTCATCCTCTGGCAGTTGACAGTCATTATTGCCGCCGTCAATGTCGCCGATCGGTGTAATGGTGTCCATAGAATCAGCCAAATGTTGTGTAGACGACAAGTGGTTGCTATCATTCATATCGGTGTCTATAAGTGTTTGTCGGTCTTCGGTGTTTACCGTCGGCTACAACAACAACAACACAACAACAATAGTGGACAACAAAAAAACAATTCAATAGTCAATAGACTTTCGTATCGAATGTTTTAATAATAATTGAAATAAATTTCTATTAATATTCTATTCATTCAATACATTCAATACATTCAATACATTCAAACATAACGTATTATTGCAGTCAATATACTCTAATAAACTAATTCTAAAATAGATTACAGAGTATAACCATATTATATAATGCATTGTTTTATTGGCGATAACGTTGTGTTTGTATGGATCGCGTGTTTGGCCAACAATTAAATTACTTTACTATTAGTATAAGTATTGATTAAAAATGTTATTTAAGTTATTCATTAATATTAATATTTATTGCTTTCAAATTGTTAACAAATTTTTCCATTAAATATTAATAGTGTTATAAAAAAGTTATTATTTCTTTTATTCAAATTTATTACAAAAAAATTATTTAATATTTTAATATTATTTTTTTAATTCTCTCATTTGGTTTAATTATTTTAGATTAAAAAAAATGTTAGATAAGATATTACAATAAAATACAATACAATTAATTAAAATATTTTTATAGAGAAAAGACAAATTAATTAATATAAAAAATATGAAATAATTATTTTGATTATACTAAGTATTAAAATTAATTAATGTATTGAATATACTGTATTAATATATTACTATACTATAAAATTAAACAAATATTATCTTTTAATCTTAATTTGATGTTATTATTTAAGAAATATTATTTGAATAATTGATTAAATTAAAACATTTTATTCATCTATTCTAATACAGAGAATATTGAATAACTAGAAATAATTTAATTTCCTGTTTATGTATAAAAATGTTAATAAATGAAAATGAATTAAATTGTGATCAGAAAATTGTTTATTAAATTAGATATACTTTCAATATATTATTCATTAAAGTTTTTTGTCTTATTTTCTTTATCATATAATTTATATAAGTATTATTTTTTTAATAATTTATTCATTTAAAAAACCATTAATAAACTTATTATTAGTTGTCTGTTAGATTAGAATTTATAATTGAAATATTTATAGTATGCAAACCATTAAGTATTTTTTAAAAATAAATAAAAATATAAATTTTTTATCATTTTGATACTTTTTAATATATTTAAAAAAAATTAATTGACATAATTATTATAGTATTATATTATTATATAAATTAAATCAGTCAATAATATAATATTTTCTAATTGTTGTTAAACGTAATGAATTGTTATATTAAAATAGTAATACATAATTACATAATATACTATCAGTATATAAGTTGACAACATTTTATTAATAGTACAGTATGTTTATAGAGTTTATACGGATGTATTAATTTTGAATTTAATTGATAGTGAAATATCTTATTAAAAGTGATTTTGACAATTGGATAACCAATGATAATGTTTATTATTATTCAGTTTATTGTAATAATTAGTAAAATTGTTTGTCAAGGATGATCATCACTATAGACATGATAGTCATGACTATTATAGTTTTTTTTTTAAATTAATCATTTTTATCATTTCATTATTTTGAACAAACAATTTTAGGACATTTTTTGATCATTTATTATTATTATTACATATATTATCTAAAAAAATTTTAATCAAAAATCTTATTGATATTTTATTTATTACATTACCAATTATGAAATTGTTAATTATTAGTATAGTTTTATTTAGTTTATCAGAAATATGTTTATCACTTCAATTGTATGCCAACGAAAATATTGATGTTACCACTGGTAAGTTATCTAAATTTCAATTATCTAAATTTTTAAAAATTTATTACAATAGTCTATTATAATTATTAAAAATATTTCATTAAACAAATACAGTACTTAATTATGCAAATATTTTTTTAAAGATGATATTAAGCGATTGAGAAGACAGTTGTTTATTACCCAGGCCTACGACAAGTTTGCCCGACCCATACCTAAAAACGATTCATATAAAGTTTCTGTTGATTATAATTTAATACATATTACTAATTTTGTTAGTATAAGTTTTTTTTTAAAAAAAATAATTAGTTTTATTATTTAAAAAACCCAATTTTCTTAATTTAAAAAAATTGTTTGATATTTTAGGATTTAAGAGCACAGACATTAACTACTGAGGGATGGCTATTCATGCAATGGTAACATTAAAAAATTGATTTTCATTGATAAAAATATCATATTATTAATATTTAATTTGTTATAATAAAGGCATGATGAAGGATTGGTATGGCAGGGACAACAGGAGTTCAAGAAAATACATAACATACGAGTGCCGGCCGATCAGTTATATACACCCGATATGATGGCCTATAATTCAATTGAATTTAACAAACAAAAAATGACATTCACTAACGCTATAGTATATAACAACGGTATGGTTATATGGGTGCCACCGATCACATTGAAAGCCCTGTGCAATGTAAACATCAAATACTGGCCATATGATGAACATAACTGTTTCCTTAAGTTTGGCTCCTGGACTTTTGATGGCCACGTTATGGATGTCACGCCAATGAGTATGTCTTATAAAATAAAAATATTGTCATAAAATATGAATATAATATATATATATAACTGTTTGACAGATAAGACAAATCCCGGTCTATTGAAGGATATTTGGAAAAACACAGAGTTTCACATCACTTACATTAACGTCACCCGCGATGTCAAGTATTATGACTGTTGTCGTGAACCGTATCCATCGGTGACTTTCTTTTTCAAACTCCAGCGCCGACCGACACTCTATCACTATATCATTTCAATGCCGGCTATTGTGGCCATCATATCAAGTTTGGCCACATTTTGGCTACCAATTCGATCAAATAATCGTTTCATTCTCAACTCAGTTAGTTTAATCATACTATCGTTACTATTGATATTTTTGGGCATACAGTTTGGTATGTCATCATTTGGAGTTCCCATTGCAGGTATTTTTTCAATTATGGTTTCAAATTCATTTTAATTCACATGTATTTAATTTTATTGTTATAATTATTAGTTCGTTTCATAAGTTTGACAACACTTTTTGTCGGTTTATTACAAGTCTGGATAACCATCGCATTCAATACATCACAACTAAAAGGACAGATACCTGTGTGGGCCATGAAATTCACAAAACCGTTGATACAATTGTACCGAAATACCGAACACGAGAGCATCCAATTGACACAATCGGAACAAACAGCAGACGTGACCAACAAAAAGTCGGTCGCAAAACATCCCAACGCTGAGGACCTGACTTTCATTGTCGACAAATTACTTTTTATTGTCTTTACATTTATGATTATCATTAACTCATTGGTCTAATAAAACCAATAAATTATTTGAAAATAATTGGAAATATTTTACAAATTAATTTAGTAAAAAAAAATATTGTATTCATATAACTTGTATTCACTTAAAAATCATAGCAATGTTATACTGTAGTACATATTAATACATTGTTTATCATTATTATTATTATTCAATATACAATAAATGTAAGTTTTATATCATAATAGATAATTATTAAGTATTTTTTATTATTTAGTATATGTGTGTGTAAATAGATAAAAGTACCTATAACATTTATCATACTATATATTTTATTATGATTTTTTTAATAAAAAAAATATCAAAAAATGTTGACGTAGAGATTAAACTGAATTTTTGTACTTGATCAATTAGAATAAATTTGATAAATATTACTATATATCAACTGTATATAAAACTTTTATAATAAAACTACAAAATATAAAGTTGTAAATATTTTGTAGTTTTAAACGGTATTCAAAATAAAATTAATCAATTATATAGAGTTCAGATTAATCTAAACATTTTATAGACTGTTTACTGTCATATATTTATTATTATATAATAATTTTTATCGAATTTTCAAGGATTTATAATTTATTTATAATTAATTGAAAAATTTCTCTTAAATTAACTAATATAAATTAAATTGTGTTTATTTAATAAAAATTTAGCTACTTATATAAAAAGGGTTGAAAAGCTGAAAATTTCATTTTGAAAATAATTTATTATTTAAACTTTGCTATTGAATAAAATATTGTTATAGTTTTTTTTTTAATTATAATATTAATTTTCAAAAAATTATCATGTATAAAATACGAGAGCTATTAGTTATTATAATATATTTTATTGTAGTTTATGCGGAAAATAATAAACTAAAATCTACTATAACAACAGGTTATTATTATTACTTTAATTATTTGAATTATCAGTTTTTTGCTGTTATATAATATATTACTTATAAAAACTTTAGATGATTTAAAGCAATTGCGTAAATATTTGTTTATCACCCAATCGTATGACAAGTTTGTCCGACCTATACCTAAATCGGGCGGAAACACGACTGTCAACATTGACTTCGGTTTAATTCATATAACAGAGTTTGTATGTTAACTAATGATATAATTTATTAGATTATTATTTATTTGAAAACTTGAGATATCATTAATTTTTAAAAAAATAATTGTTTTTTAAAAATTTAATGATCAGAATGTCAAATCACAAACACTTACTGTCGAGGGTTGGCCGAAAATAAACTGGTAGTTAATACTGTATATTAAAATAATTGTTTATAAAAATATAATTAAATATTATTTACAATATTGTCAGGACTGACGACGGTCTCCGATGGGATAATAAAGAGGAGTTTAAAAACATAGCTGTCCTACGTATGCCTTCCGATCAAATATATAAACCTGATTTAATGGCATACAATGGCATAGAGCATAGTACTACAAAAATGACTAATACTAATGCATTGGTATATCCCAATGGGATGGTATTGTGGGTAACGCCGATCACATTGAAAGCCCTGTGCAAAGTAGACCTCTCCCGATGGCCATACGATAGACATTTGTGTTTTATTCAATTTGGCTCATGGACCATGGATGGATTTACTATGGATCTAACTGCCAATAGTAAGTATACATTTTCAATATAACATCTAATTAGATAATTAATTGATTTTAAAAATAACCTAGATGATGGCAAAAGTTTTCTTAATAATTTCTATGAAAACACTGAATTTGACGTCAAATTTGTGAACGTGACCCGAGTGGTCAAGTATTACTCGTGTTGTACCGAACCGTATCCGTCGGTGACTTACTATTTTGAATTGCAACGACAGCCGACACTTTATCACTACACAATAACTGTACCGGCAATTATGGCCATTATAGCTAGTTTGGCCATATTTTTGTTACCCGTGCGCTCAGGACTACGATTTGTATTGAATTCAGTTAGCTTTATTGTATTGTCCAGTATTTTAGTCAATTTGGGTGCACAGTTTGGTGTTTCTACGCTAGGAGTTCCCGTTGCTGGTAATATATAACTATAAACAAAATAAAAATATATTTATTTATTTATGTGATAATTATAATACTTGAATAATTTTATCAAAATTTAGTTCATTTTATAAGTGTGTCGACACTGTTTGTCGGTTTATTACAACTATGGCTTACAATTGCATACAGTACTTCATTTTTTCCGATAAGATTCATAAAAGTGATGTTTCAAACCTATAGAAAGACCACTACCACTGAACACGAGGAACAACATCTAACAAAATCAACTAAACCTGAGATGGAGGACATCCTAAAAGAGTCAGATCAGACAAAAAGTCAAATATTTGTGTTAATTATAGATAAGTTTGTTTTTGTAGTCTATGTTTTTGCACTATTGTATAACTTAGTTGTTTAAAATTTAAAAATTTTTATAAGTTTTTGTTATAATAAGCAATTATCACAATATAAAACCCTTTCAACTTTATACAGTATATATATTTTTTATTGGCAATTTACTAATTTAACAAATATAATAAGCGTTGTGAAATATATATATATATAATCTTTTTATTTGAAAAACCTATTTAAAACAATTTGCTTTAATTACGATATTAAATACTGTAATATTATTTTGTATTTTATGCTTCTTAGTTATTGTTATAACATTCAATAATAATTTTTTATCAATATTATAACATCAATCTATAATAACTACTATTTTAATTTTTAAAAATATATATAAGTGTATATTTTTACTTTATGGGTGTATTTACGTATAGTATCAATTATTAATGGTAATAATTTTTAATCAAATTTAATGTCATTTAATAGTGACACACATAGGCACACAAACACACACACAAGTAATAAAAAATTTTAATGTCAAACAAAATAAATTGTTTTTTTTGTTAGTTATACTATAATACATAAAATATTAAAGATATTATATTTCATTTTTTTGTTGTTAATTTTTAACTGTATTATCTCAAAAACTATGATTTAACTTTTATTAGAAATTGTTATTATTTACTTTATATCAGTAATATATGAAATATATTATAATAAAAAATAATTTTTCTTTTAATTTCATGTAAAAAATTTATTTAATTAATAACTAATTAAATAATTGGTTTTTAATAAAACTGTTTTCGCAATGATATCCATTATAAAATTGTTGACTTTGTTTATTATAACAGTTTATTGTCAAAGTGATGATCAAAAACAAGAAGAAGGTATTAGAAAATATTAATAATAATAATGTCTAATGATTTTTGTTAAATACAAAACTTATTATTTAAATGTTATTAATTGATTTGATTTGATTTTGATTGTATAGCTGCTATTAAAAAGTTGAGAAACAATTTATTCAAAAATAGTAGTTACGATCCAATGATAGTACCGGTCAAAAATTGGAGTCACACTCTCAATGTACACCTCAGCTATAATCTTATCAAAATTTTTGATCTGGTATTACCATTAAAGAAAACAATATACTTAAATAAATAAACTAATTTATAATATTTTATTTTTAAAAAGTTTAATTATATAAATTTTTTTTTTGTTAAATAGGATGTTAATACAAATATACTAACAACTGAAGGCTGGTTATTGATGAGCTGGTAAGTGGATGGGGGGGGGGGGTTATTAAAACATATTGTTTTTTTTGTAGTCCATATTAGTATAAAATCATATGCAAAATGTTATGTTTAGGACTGACCAGCACTTACAGTGGAATCCCGATGATTACGACAAGATATCAATCATAAGGGTCGCACCCGACGAAGTTTTTAAGCCAGACTTTATGTTATTCAATTCAGTTGATGTAAACACTATGAAAGACAATACAATTAAGACAAATATGTTGCTGTACTCAACGGGAGAGATTATGTGGGTGCCGCCGGTTGTATTGAAATCATTGTGTGATGTCGACCTAACTAATTGGCCATACGATGAACAAACATGTTTTCTGACATTTGGTTCGTGGACTCACGATGGACTCGGTATCAATATTTCTGATGGTATAGTTTTTTTCAAAAAACATCTAAAATCTAACACATAATCTAATAAATATTAATAGATATTATTTACATTATTGTATATTTGTTTTACCAATGGATGGGTGTGTTTAGACTGTAATATATCATTAGAGGAATACTGGCCCAGTGGGGAATGGGATATTTTAGGCACCGAAGTTCGGCGTAAAGATCTTTATTTTACCTGTTGTCCCGAACCATACCCTGAGGTGTCTTTCTTTATAAAGATGCGCCGCAAGACAACCCTATATCACTATACGGTATTCCTGCCGGTGTCCACTGCCGTACTCCTTAATCTTCTAATGTTTTGGTTTGCAATTCACTCAAATAACCGATTTCTGCTATCGGGACTCAGTTTGTTATTAATGACAATTATTTTACTATATTTGGGCTCCCGGTTTGGCATAGGCACCGATACCATACCGTTTGCCAGTTAGTCTAAAAATAATACAATTGATAGTATTTGTGGTTAAATTATTTGTTTTGTTTAAAAGTTCGTTATATTAGTCGTACAATACTTGCAATTGGATTGACCCTTGTGTGGACAACAGTAGCTTATAATTTGCTAAACATGGACATCCAAGTGCCCGATGGTATCAAAAGAATTGTGGCGCCGGCCGAGTGGATAATCAAAAGATCTGGTGGTAATATGGACAGTGATACAGTTAATTTGACAATTGATGACCAAAATGTTGGTTATAATAACAGACAAATGAAAGATAAGTCACTAGAAATTGTTATTACTATTATTGATAGACTAGTTTTTGTCATATTTTTCATTGTAATCATATCTATGCATCTTTAGTATAAATATTAAAGTTATGTATCATAAATAATTAAAATAACCATATAATATACACACAAATAATAATTTGATCTATAAATCTATATAAGTATACTTTAATATATTAGAAATGTAATAATCATAAAAAAATAATTAATAAAATACAGTATAATTAGTGAATATACTGTACATCTAAATAAATATATAGTTTTAACAATTATAAAAATGTACTTATTTTTCTATTAATACAATATATAAATTATATATAGTATTACTAAATGTATGTATAGTAAATCATATTTTTATCTAAAAACAAATTTTTAATTAACTTAATAATTATTATTTAGTTTTACTAGATTTTGATGGATTATTATTACACTTAATGTTAAGCTTATTGTTGTTATTATTATTTGCAATCATATTATTATTTGCAATCATATTATTATTATTTGATTCATAAACCAATTTCTTTCTAATCTCAAGAGTTCTGATATCTTCATCGAGTCTTTGTCTATCAAAATCTAATATCATTTTTTCATCCATTCTTTGTTTGTTTATTTGTTCAAATTTCTGGTGTATTTGGCTTTCGATGGCTTTCAGCTCCTTTTCCTTGGCCTTCAATCGTGGCTCCAGTTTCTCCATTACTATACGACGAATAACTTCGTAACTGTTGTCAGTTTGTAGCGCTTTCATCATTGTTTCCAATCGGTGTCGTCGATAGCATTCATAATGACTTTCCTCAAGAGTCTGTCTAATGTCCTCCAAATTGACTTTTAATATCATATCTCTTAAGTGCATAAAATCGCAATGACTTTTATTTTCAACTAAATTCATTTATTTTGAAACATCATAAACATAAAGATTTTGAAGACTCGAGTTTTTAATTCATACCTTCTACAGTACCCCACGGGTATTGTCTGACCCGTATTTGTTTGTCGTCAATAGTAATAAAGTCATTGCTGGCCACCAAAGCAAACGGTAACAAATCATTGCATTTGTTATTAATATCGGCCACTTCGGGCTCAGTTATAGGAAATCTATAGATTTTAATGCCATTATTCTCAATGTCAGACATGATATTGCTTTTGAGTCGCTGTAGTTCCTCTTTATTAATCAGATCAGACTTTCCTATCACTGGTATAATATTGGTTAAAAGATCCAACGCCTTCAATGTCTGTATGTCGATGGCTTGCAATCCATGACCAATGGGTGATATCATATATAAACACAAATGTACTTTTGTGTCGTGTCTTTTAGTACGAACTTTAAGTTTGATTTCCTCTTCAAATGAGATGTTCAACTGTTGGACAATGTAGTCAACTATCGGTTTGCAGGGGTTATCTAAAAAAAGATTTTCAGTAATCGTTTTAATAAGTGCTAATTTATTGGACAGAAAAAAACAAACCACAGGTAATCTGATCGCCAAAACCTCGCGACTCAATGATACCAAGTTTTAAATGGACGTCCTTTTCGTTAAGATCATAGTAATGGATGATCACATCAACCGGCAACTGATGACTACGGGCTGACTCGTTGGCGAACGACGTGTTAAACAATGAGTCCATAAGTGTGGTCTTACCGACGCCTGTCTGTCCCAAAACCATTATATTAAAAGCTATGCTCTTGTTTTTAAGCACCCGTTTCACGTGTTGCTCGGGTAGACTAGCGATACCGACACTGGGATCACATTCAATAACTCTAACTAATGGCTGGTAATCGGATTCACAGGAAATAGTGGGTTTGACTTCATAGTTATCATTATCATTGAGTGATTCATTTTTATCTGTCATTATGTTTATAATAAGTTAAATAAAAATAATTTATTTGTGACTTTTATTTTGTTTAATGTAATTTTAGACAATACTATACAGTATTGTAGTTAAATGCAATAAATTTTTTTATTAATATATCATATTTAATATTCAAGTCTAGTGTTAAATTTATATTAAATGAAACAGTATAACATACAGTTATAATATAAGTTCAGAATTTTATTTTGAAACACAGATTATATGCTAAATAATTACAATAATAAAATAAATTTGTTAATTAATTTTTGTATAGAAAATTAAAAAACATTTAAATAATATTTATTATATAAGATAACCACAAAAAATATTTAGACTTAGAAAAATACATAAACATAATACACAAATAATAATTTTGCTGTCATTATACAAATACTTTTCATAACAAATTAATTAAATAATTATATTTTTTTATTTATTTATAATTTTAAAAAAAATATTTTGTTTACATACCTAACACCAATTGACAATAATTTCAATACATATAAAAATAATATCGGTATTTAAAAATAATTGTAAATAAAAAAATTATTTTTAAAATATAATCATAACTTAAATATGTATGTAATTAAAGTTAGCTTTAAATACTCAGTTCTCCGCTTTCAATACATTCATATAAATCATTGGTTAGTCTTTCATAAGTATTTGATTTGCGATTAAAATAATAGATTAAATCATCAGTTAATTGTGGTTTAAAACCGTTTTGTCTGAGTTTATATTTGATCAGTTTATAAGTTCCGGTTAGCTCTATGTTAGTGGACAGTCGTATAAACAATGGTATGGCGTATGGCGGCAATCGTTTAATCAATTGTTGAGCCAATTCTTGTAAGTCTATCTCATTTTCTTCGGCATTAATGACAGCCATACCAGCCCTACCTTCGCATTTGCCAACAGTAACTCCAAACACAGTACAGTCTTTCAGGTTAACATAGTTTTGTAAGACAGCCTCAACATCATTGGTCGACACATTTTCCCCTATAAATAAACATACATTTTTTAACCCAATTATTTTGACCAATTTGTTTACCTTTCCATCTGAATGTATCGCCAATTCTATCCTTATAATACATATAACCATATCTATCCATTTCTAAGAGATCACCCGATATAAAACCAGAGTCACCATTGGATCTGATATTATAAATCAGTTTTTTATTTGTCTCGTTTTTATTGGTATAGCCTTCGAAAACATAGATTGGACTGATTTTTTTATTAACACCAACCAGACAGCCGATATCTCCCGGTTTAATCATTTTGCACAGACCTTTCCTATTGCGCACCGGTTCATAGGTAATGGGATCTACTTTAATGATACAACCTGTGTATATTAATCTTAGAAAAATCCAGTAATAGTATGGTATAAAACCACAGGACCCTTCCTTGTCATTCAAATTGACTAATTTTTTGAAAAAATAGTGATAATAAAAATTATAGATTGATAGACATTATTACTATATATTGAATATATTACCCAAATATACGTTTCCTTCGGATGCACCATAAAACTCAAAGATATGTCTGATAGCAAACCGTGTCTTGAATTGGTTCCAATACTCTTTGCGTAGACCTATTCCACACATTGCACGTATACTGTGTTGAGTATCGTAAGGACTGGATGGTTGAGCCAAAAGGTAACGACACGTTTCGCCGATATACAGTCCGATAGTGCACTCGTGTTTAATACAATCTGCCCAGTATTTGCTGGCCGAAAATCGATCGGCAATTGTTATAGTTATACCATTTATAAGACATTGGGCAACAATTAGCAATCCGCCGAAAGCATGGTATAGTGGTAATGGCAGGTATATGTTATCAGAATTGCGTAAACGATATCCAATTTTCTGACCACTGGCGGCCAGTAGTATCCGTGCGTCGGTCTCTATGGCCGCTTTTGCCTTACCACCCGTAGTGCCCGATGTGAACACATAGAGTAGTATGTCTTTGAAGTTACGCTTATGAAACACTTCCAGACTGTTTTTACAATGATTTTTCAGGTACTGACAAAACGATTCGGACACAAATTTTGGTGGACCCGTATTGTTGTTACTGTCAATCACATTGTAATTGTGATCCTTAGACCAAACAAAGTACTTCATTGCCGGATAGACACTGTTTAGCTCATCATAGATATCAGTCAATGCTATTAATATGTGAATTATTGTAAGTTATTAGTACTTTTATTTAAGTTTAATATGTGATCTTAAATGTAGTTAATAAAATTTTATTTAGATTAAATAATGAATTATTTTTTTCCTCATATATTTTTTGTTTGTCAATGACATGTCTTATCATTCATCATGAAATGATCTATCATTTTAAATGAATTTATTTATATTTTAGTTTACATTAACTATTGCATAAATATTGTAATAGACATTAAATTATATTATACCTGAATAGTACTCCAAGTCATAAATAATTGCTTTACAATTGAATGCTTTCAAACAATCCATTAGACAATCCATACGATTGTTAGTATTAATGAATGCGGGAATAATACCGGCTTTGATCAAACCTAACCAAATGCCCACATATTCGGGCTTATTATTCATCATAATCGCCACCTCATCGCCCGCTTTAAGTCCGGCAACCGAAGCAAAATAGTTGGCAATTTGATAGGAAAACTGATCCAACCGTTTGTATGTCCACTTGTCATCCATATATCTGATGGCAATTTTGTCGCCATTTTTAGTGGCATTCTTCTTGAACACTGTAGTCACTGATTCGTTGCTAAACTTCCAGCGCCTCCACAGTAGGTTCCACTCAACCACACCAATACCAGACCTATACATATAATTATCATTTATTAATAAAAAAATATTATTAATTTTTTTCTGGTCATCAATTTGGTCTAAACTATATATATCGTGATTTAAGTTAATCACTTAAAAAATAATTTAATAATCTATTCATCTTATGATTATATGGCCATTGAACGCATATATAGTACAATATATTGTAAACATAGTAAACAATTTTGTGACGGATAAAATTTATGTTATCAAGCTAAACTTAATTTATTAAATTACTAGTTCTACAGGATAAACAACATTTTGATTTAATAAAATTTTCTAAATTTATATAGTTATTTAAAGTAATATTTTTGTGTTTAAATTGACATTTTCACTTTAAATGACATTAAAAAAATTTACTTTAAATAATTTTTATACAATATAGTATACTTAGTATATTATACTAGGATAAACTATAATTAAATGTCTCGTTTCATTAAAATAAATAATAGTTTTTAAAAATGCAGTTTATGTTTTCTAATAGCTATTTTACATGAAATCATAATCTTATATTTATTTATTAAATAATTATAGTTAAATATTTATAAAAATTGACATAATAAAAATAACTATTCTTACATTAAATAAAAATATTTTTTTTCTTAAATTAATTTATAAATATTTTAATTTGTTAGTAATATTTCACATATATTAATGACAATATTTTTAATTTGAATAAAATGTGATAAATTTAAATTAAATTAAATATTAAATTTTTAGACAAATATTAATATTTTGATTCAATATTAAAATATTATAATTTAGAAAATTATTTTTTTCAATTTTAAGATAGTTTTTATATTACTAATAATATTGTTATTAATATAAAATATTCAAATATCTAACTTTATCTGCTTATTAAAATAAATAATTATATAAAATTAAAATATGTATAATCGAATTTATAATTATAAGAAATAAGTATAATTAGTATATGAATAAACTAATAAATAAAAATAATATAATAGATATTAATATAAAATTTAATACTTACTTAAGATCCCGTTTAAAGCATTCCCACATATCATTCATCATTTTTTCTCAAATAAGATTTTTTTATATAAATTGTTGTCAAAATATCAAAAAAAGAAAAAAATTCCAAAACATTTATCTATATATACAAAACATTTATGAATTGAAAATGCGATTGAATTAAAAAAAACAGATTTTTTAGATCAATTTTAGAGATCAACAAAATGAATAAATTTTTTGTTTTTTATATACAGTATAATTATAGCAGAATATCAGAGAAAAAAATAAACATTTAAAAAGTTAATATAAATTTGATGTATAAATTTATAACTGGAGGCACAATAAAATAATCATCGTTTGTTAGCTAAGGTATACGTGAAAACAATTTTTTTTACCAGAACCCAAACACTGTACTACACATCCCTGTGCTCTCTGAACATACAGTTTTCTCTAAACTGCTTTCTCTTTTCTGAGTTCTATTAATATAAGAGAAGGTTAACAAGTTTAGTTTTCTTAGATTAATATACTGTATAAGCAATCACATCATACAATAGTCTATGTGATAGGGACTGGTATATAACCGGTATAACTTTATTTATAAGTATATACAGTATTGTCATATACTATATGAAATAAAATAAAAATTTATATTATGTGTGTATTAGTGATACAAATGATTTTTATTATTATAAAATATTAACTAACAGTCTAACAGTATGTTTTTAAAATATATATATATTTATTATTAGCACTCAATTAACATTAAATCAGTCAACAAATTAAAAAAAATTGTTTCAATACTATGGTGTGAATAATTATTATCATAACAAATATATACAGTATTTTTAAAAATTATTGTTTTGCGTTAAATTGAAAAACAAATGTTGCTAATAATAAATATGTATAAAAATTTTAACATAATTTATTAATATTTATCAATCTAGAGATTTACGTATATATATTTTTTCTCAAAGCATAATAATAATAAAATTTAATTGCTTTTTCAAATCATCTAGCTATATTTCACAATCAACAAAATGAATATTTGATTTTATTAATATATTTCTAAAAATAACAAAAAAGTGCTAAAATTTTATTTTTATAGTATTTATAAAAATATTACAAAAAAAATGTTATGTTAGATAAAAATAATTTTTGTTTTGTTAAACTTTATAAATATATTGATACAATGTTGATACATTGCTATCATCATAGATATATGTGTATAAGATATCACATCACAGATCACAGTGTATAATATCGTATTTATAACATCTAACGAATATAATATATATTTTTTATTGACATTGACATTAAGAAATAAATATTTTTTTAACTCATATTATTAAAAAAATTACTTATCTAAAATCATTAAATATTATTTAAAAAAAAAACAATACACAACACATACACACATAATATATAGACACATAAAAATTAATTGTATAAAAATTTTAATTTAAGTTAATGCTATACAATATTATATAATTAGAAAGTTATGTTCTAATTAATAGTATATTTTTAGTTAATAATAAATATTTAAATGCAATCAAATAAAATAATATAGAAAATGATAAACTATTAAAATAAAATATGAATAGCAGTTAATACATTTGATACTAAATGCCAACCTTTTAATTGACATTTTTGTTTAACACTTTCCCTGTTTGACAACCTTGATCATTTTTGTTTGTTTGTTAAAAATAAAATCTTAGTAATAGTTAATTTAAATTAATTGTTTTTCAATAACCAATGAATTTATAAAAATTATCATACAAAACAAATAAAATATGTCTGATAATTTATACAATTTTTCTAACTATATAAGTTTCAACGATTTAAATATTAAATGAGTTTATATAAATACAAAATATTCTAAGATTTTAATAATTAATAGACTGTAAAGTTTTTTGGTATATTATTTAATTAGTTAGAAATTAATTATATTTTCATTTTGTTTAAATTTAATTAAAATTATTAATAATTTAATATTCTCAACAACTCAATTATTTTAAATTGTAACAATTATTTTTTTTATATACAAAAAAGTTTATTGAATTAAAAATTAAATTCACAATTATTTCAAGGTTTTATCAATAAAAATTTTCAGTATATAGATATATATATTATATATTAAAGTTATTAGATTATAATTAGTTATTTTTGTAACAGTAATACTATACAATTATAATCAAATTAGTTTATTTATTATATATTTATTAATAGAAAATGTCAGTCATTGAAAATAGTATTTTTTAAAAAGTCTTACTATAATAGCAATAGTTAGTTTTTTAAAATCTATAATTATTTTACTATATTTTATATTATTTTTATTTTATATGTTTTAACAGGTTTGCGAAATGTATCATTGATTGTTAAAAAAATAAATTATTTAAAATTATTATTATTAATAATCAATCAAAATTTTAATGTTTGATCCGGCATTGCTGTCATATATCTATTGATTGTTCAATAGTTTTGTAAAAAAAAATTATGCCATCATCGATAACGACTGGATGATACCGGTAATAATTAGTTATATTGTATAAATCATATATACAAAAAAAACTATCTTGAATATTTAAGCTAAAATCTCAATTATTTAATAATAATCTTTAAATCCTAATAATTTTATTATGACAACTACTAGTGTGTTAGTAAATGATTATGTGTTGTATGCATTATATAAATAAAGTTTAATTTTAAATAATAATCTATACATTTTTAGCATAATTTGATTAAAATTTGCTTAACTATCTATATTTAGTATTAAATATTTTGATATTTTTGTGGTGACATTTAAAAAATATATTTATACAGTAGATTCACCAATCTATGAAAATTATTCATTAGTAGATCTACATTAATCATTCATAAATCATTGATTATAACTTTTTTTAAGTAAAAAATTATAATATAAACATAAAAATTATAATATATTTTTAATAAATCAAACTATAAGTGTCTAACAGCAATCAATATCAATGATTATACAAATATTCATATATAAGTTTTTGCAATTTTATAAATTTATAGCATTGTTTATTAAAGTTAGCATTAATTTTAATGTTCAAAAAAATTATTCAATAGTTAAACTGCATAAATGAATTTTTCATTTTATATATAAATTTATATTTGTTTTAAGATTATGTAAATCTAACATTGAAAGGGTTTCCCATAATTTTCAGAATCAAACTCAATGTTAACTATTTTAAAGCAAAATTTTATGAGAAAAAATAATTAAAAAATCAGTCTTTATAACACTGGTATTCAATAGAAAAAAATAAGAATTATTTATTAATTTAAAAAACAAATAAATAAATGCAATTAAATTAGAAATTTATTATTATTATAGAAAACATAATTTTACTGACAATACAAACAAATCGCTGATTTACTCCAAACGGCCGGTTTAATTACAAACGATTTCAAACAAATACAGCATTTATTATATCGATAGTTAACAAAATCGCATAAAACCAATGAATTGGCGCATCTAATGAACCGATGGGACTGTCGACACGCGCCAGTCGTGCGATTGTCGAACTCAATTCGTTGGCCACAAATCAGACAAATGTCTTCTACGGCACTAAAATCGAAACAATTGTCGGCAAACAGTTTTTCACCAAATCGTACGGACAGCCAGTGATTCATGTTCTTCAACGACCGTAACTGACTTTCGGTTAATACTTCCAAAGCGCAGACAACTTCGCTGTAGAGTTTATGTATGAAATGCTTTAAAATCATGTCTTCACATAACTGTGCGTTGGCTTCAAGTTTGACACAATCATCGGATGTCTTATTCTTGAAGTGAGTAATAAATACTTTTGTAATAAAACGTATGATTCGTAAGGTTGTTAAGTCCGGACAGTTGTCGATTAGCGACTGATCGCAAATCAATTGGTATAAAGTAGTTTCACAATTGCCGAAATTATTGGTGGCCAGAAAATAGCGGACACAGTCCATGTAGTCAAAACAATCACTAAACTGTTGGCTTTTAACTAATTGGATCACTTTTGATGATAAAAAGTTTTCGTATAACAGGTTTGTCAGGCCTTCAAATGATAAGTTTGCAAATATAATCACTTGTGTCGGCTCTTTGATTACCAGATGATCATGAAGTGGACTGAGTGTTTGAACTAAACACGATAGGACACCATTGGGCGATGAATCAATACCATATGAGCACATGGATGTAAAGCTAATGTTGTCGAGTGTAACCTCTTTTTGTCTAATAGTTAAATCGTGTGTAATTTCTATTTCAATGAGTCGACCATCCAGTGATGTCAACAAATATTTATTATCAACTATAGAGCTAATACTAGTGGCCGGCATTCGGTGTAAACCCGGTTCCCATTTGCAACACTTGAGATTCATAGCAATGTTTTCGCCGTCGATGTTAGCATTCATACGACATATGACCACAAAATCTGATTTTGCGAACACAATATCATAGGTATTGGTTTCTGTGTCCACTAATTTTATACTAAAAGTATTGACCGCAATTTCATCCGCTTCGGACCACAATAGCAGTGGATTGGGCTCCGAATCGGACGAACTGCCCGTATAGATGACAGCAATGATACCGTTTGCGACCGATATAATTAAAAAGTCGTCAAAACTCTTGAGACATTTAATATCGTTATAATTTGTGGTCCATTTGTAGAGAAATTGTGTCCGAATTGATTGGCAATCGTTATATACAGTGATGTCCCAGAAAGTGATTAAACCGTTCTTCGAGCCCATGAATAACATACAACTGTAGCCAAGTTTGTCATCAGTCTCGACCCAACTACGGGCCCAACAAAAGCAAACAGTAGCCAAACTATACATACGATCGCGGTATGTATTATAGTTAACTGCGGCACCGATATCGGCAAACCAAAAGTCTGACTGCAGTTTACTATTTAATAGCTCAGACACGTCAATAGATTGTTCCCATTCATCTCTAGTCCACCGATATATGACTAGTCGATGATCAACAGTAAGGGCTCCCAATAGACAACCCAATTCTCCCCAATTGGGCGACCAATCGATGCAACGATAGCTTAAATATGTCAATGAATTGCCTGTTTCACCGGCCAGTGACGGGTCCATCATTAAGATTTGTTGTTCATCGAGAGTGGCCGTCGATAGCACTTCTTTGACAGTCATTCCGCAATCAAAAGTCATGATCTGTTTCGGGTTCGGCACAACTGTCTTGTGATATGGAAAACCTGTAGTCCATTCGGTCGGATCGCACCGTGAGGTCAACACCAACAGATACTTGTCTATTATGACAGCAATTGAATTGCTTTCAGACCATTTAACCGACGGTGTGTTCAATAGATGACCACTTGTGGTGATACTTGTTATCACTGTTTTATTATCAGCAGATCCGCCGCCGCTGGTCATCGTTAGTCACCGGGTTTCGGGTGTTTAATAATTATTACCACAAATATATACAATCTATTGTAGAGACATTGATCGGGTAGTGTAACCAGTGGTCACAAACGGTAAAACAAACACTTAATTTGAAAATAAGACAAAAATTGTTTTTGAATTGAAATGTAATCAAAAAGTTTTCAAATAATAATAAATACAAAAAAACATTTCGTTTATATGTTTTGTCAACAAATGATGTGTTTTTTGTATTGGATTTTACATTCAAAAAGTAAACAATAGTTTGCAGTAAATTAGTATTAATCGCAACATTTTTTTGTGACCAATTGTCCCGACAGTCAATATGCCCTTAAACGTCAACCCAAGTGATACACCCGACGATGACAGTCATCTGTCCACTGCCGAAGTACCCGTACATCATATGGTTGACAGTGACTTTAGCTCAGATGACGAGTCCGACGACGACGACCCGAACGACCGATTTTATGAGTTATTGCCGACAACGGATGTGGCCAACAATGTTACCGAAGATAGTAGTAGTGGTGATGGACAACCGGGCAACTATTATCAGCACAATTATGTAGTTGAATGGGTTGACTGGGATCAGTACGAGCAAAGTCAGCAAAGACAACAACAGCCACAACAATCCATAAGTGATAATCCAATTGATGGTCAATCTAGTGATGAAACACCGATCGGTATTGACGTTTCCATAGCGGACACGAGTCCAGTAACCAGTGAACCATCACTTAGTCGACCAATTAATCTAAACGATGGTATGATTTGATCCGCTTTGTTATCGATCTTTTCGGTTATTTAAACTAAATTTCGGTTAATTTTAATTATTTTCTTATAATTAATTGATAGATCGTATCAATGAAATTAAGACATTGATGGCTGACTTTGAACTGCCGAAGGATAACATTCCTGTTTGGGCTCACGATATGCCTGAAGATCAGTGGAAAACATTTCTTGAGCGAAAAGTCGAGGACAGGACTAATGACTAATAGATTTATTTGAAAAATAGAAATGATTTTTAATGTAATTTAAAAACAAATTTTGTTAATTATTTGTATATTATATATCATATATTTATTTATTTATTTGTATTTTATTTATTCTGATATAACTGTAATAATTTTTTCTTCAAAAATGATATTCAATTGATATATAACATAAGTTATGATTTTTTTGAGTTAATAGTTACTAATTATGTTTTTTTATCTCAATGTTTACCTGAATATAATTTATATCATTTTATTTGTTTACATACTGTAAACAATAGTTATGTTTTTTTTAAAAAATATAATTGATTGCGACATTGTTTGCATACCAATTAACTGTACTAGGGTAATTTGTTTACTGATTACTGTAACTGTACTTGTATGTATATAACTTAATGTAAATAACAATTTTTTCTAAATAACATACACTTATTATTAATTCAATTACTATAATTTGTAAAAACATACTCTTGAAATATTTTATATATATCTAAATATATCTAATTGTGATATTTTTTCTAATATTAATTATAATAATATCTTAATAATCAATAATGATTGTTAATAAAGTAAACAAAAAATTATTATTTTGTTTTTTAAAATTTAAATATAGATACTTATTTGTTAATCAGTTATAAGTAATATCAATAATGTTGTACTCATAATTAATAATAATTAAGATTTTAATTACAAATATATAAGTTATTATTGAAATACTATGTTTTTATTATTCTGATAACATTTTATTATGACGAGATGTATAATTATATCTTTATAATAATAATAATAATAAAACAATAATTTTTTTTGTTGATAACATTTGTCATAAAAAAATGATAAATACTGTAAGAATATTTTTTATAAAATTAATACAGTATAAAAAATAATAAATAAAGTACTAATTATTTTTTAATTAATAATCATTTATGAAAAAACTACAATTTATATTTGATTTTTATTATTTCCAAATGATATAATAATAATTAGATTTTTATGAAATAATAAGTCAACAAAAAATGGCAAACAATAAGAAAAGTTGTTCTTATATTTGCCATAAGTGGTCATTGTTTGGCTTATGTTTTGCATTGGTATACTTGGAGCTAATGCTAGTGCTATTTGCTGTATTCATATCCAATCAGTCCCCACATGAGTATCGGGTATATAATATATCAATATATTTATTTTGAGTTATATTATTGAATTTATTTAGTTTTAAAATTATTGTAATAATTTTAGAAAATAATATATCGCAAGATATTAGTCGAGTCCGGCATTACGGTGCTGTTGGCAATGTTGGGCGCTATCGGTGCCTATCGTGAGAGCTATTGTCTGACATCACTGTTCTCGGTATTTACAACTCTATCAGTGATCGCACAGATATATTCATCGATAATATCGCCGATATTCTGGTTCATTACACTGTTCTTCATGTTTGTAACAATGGTTTCATTTTCATTTGCTCGACACATACGGGAACGCCTACTGAAACTGTTAATTGAACCGCAATTAGCTTTTGCCAGAGATAACGGACCACCATATGGAGCGACGTTTAATTCAATTGTCTTTTCAAATGATAACACTTCTAATAGTAATAATTATAATAATATTGATGGCTATAATAATAATAATAATCAACAATTTATTCATATGCATAATATGCCAACATTTTGTAAGCCACCTCCATATGAGGAAATGCCTCCCTATCCACCCCCATATGATGATAATAGTTCACAATCAACAAGTGCTCAAAATTGTGTGACTTATATTTGAATAATTTTAAATAATAATAATACAACAAATTGTATATAAAACAAACTAATGATACAATGTTTGTAAAATAAATTAATTATTAATCAATTAATTAGATTTATGATTAACTAATTATCAAAATAATGTAAATTAAAATATATTTTCTATAACAATAAATAAAGTATAATATACTCTATAGACATTTATATACTACTTAATTGATTAATTGATTACATCAAAGTAAATTAATTATTATAAATGTAAAAATAAATAAATAAATTTACTAATACTTTAAATGTTTTATTAAATTCAATTACTTGATTATAATAAACTTTAAAATAATTATAATAATTGAATTGTATTGAATTGTATTGAATTTAAAAATACATTATTACTCTTGCGATATACTGTACTTTGATTACCGTATTATCAAAAAACATTTCGCGCGCTTTTAAAACGTTATAAATTTAAATAATAAGTTTTGGACTAAAAAACTGCAAATAATTTGAGACCAATAACCAGAAAATATGGACAAAAAGAATTCATCCGACGAAGACATTAATGACAACAACGATAGATCCAATAGAATCGTTGGCCACAAGAAATATCCCAAGAGTTGTCTCATTTGTTTAAAAGTTATGACAAACCGTTCGTTGACAGACACATGTCTCCATCAATTCTGTTACGAATGTCTTCGCAAGTGGTCTTCTGATGGTAATTGTCTTTGTCCAGTGTGTCGACAAAATTACAAAAATATTATTCACAATATCGTGTCCGCCGATCAATATGATAGGGAACCTGTTGTACAAACTGTTGAACAATCGATGAATGCGATAATCCAGTTGGGAATGCTATCGGCATCACGAGTGAACTCTACATACAGTCGTAGTTATTTAGAGAAAGTCGAAACTTTGGAACAATTTAATAAAAACAACAATGAAATGAGGAATATGTCGAAAAGTGAGAGAACATCTCAAAGATTTAATCAATTGATTAGAGAAAACAAAGCCTTAGAAATGGTTAATAACAGACTGGATATCGATAAGAATTCGGTGACATTCAATGCAAACCTTTCACAACAAGACATGTATTCGGCTTTAAATCAGTTGATTGATGGAAGAGAAGACCGACAAAACTTACAAATAATGGCTTTTGTTGTACCTATAAATGCCGGCGATTACGGTGAAGAAGAAGAAGATCATGAGTCGGTCAATGATGAATATGAGGACATAGACAATGGATTGTATGAAAGCGATGACTCGGATGACTACTCTTTGAGCGGATACTCTGATAGCAAAAGAGTCCGAAAAGAATAATGTATTGTAAATACAATTAGAGTTTTCCCATTCAAATGTCAGATTCAAATATAAATTTTTATTTAGTTAGTTATCTAACAATTAAAATTCAACAAAAGTTGTCAAATTGTCAAACAAAGTTCGGCTAAAATCTATATTATAGACAGCCAGCAAAAAATCTGTATATAGTATATCGATATATACAAAGAATAAAATTTAAATAAAAGTTTGATTTTGAATTTAAAACTTTAATTATTTTATGCTTTTATTACAATTTAATTTATACCGGTATTTATAGCATAGTCCTCATTTAAAAACTACTTATAATGTTGTGGACAGTTATGATTGAATTGACTACATCGACGAGTGAGTTATCACTGACTGTAGATTAAAATCATACACCGATTATAACATTCAGATAATTATCAATACAATGTTTGTCATCGTTGTGTTACTGACACTCATATTCATATGTCTGACCATTTAGTTGTATTGTCAATAGAAAAGACAGTCAAATAAACATAAAATTCTATTAATTTGATATTATTTAAAATATACCGGTAGTGTATATTTGATCTAATATAACAACAAAAGTAAAAATAAAAGTTTGCTTTTAATACTGATTTATAGCTGAATTGAATTTAAATAGCTATAATAACCGAGTTTACTATTAATATAGTATCATATTATACTTTAAATAAATAAATAATATTATTATTATTTAATTATTATAATTATTAAAAATTTAACATTATGTTTTTTTTTAATATAATGATCGAATCGATTAATAATTGATTACCTAATTTACTAAATGTATAAAAAATAAAAATAATTTATATAAAATAAAAGATATTATTTATAATTTAAATCAAATTATATGAATCACTAGTACTGTACTCAGTAGTTACAGTAATTAATTTTAAACTGTTATTTCTGTGGACAGTTAGCTCAACAGACTTTCCACTATTTGTTTTCAATGTATCGATTAAGTCATGTATAGAATCAACGGGTTTAGCATTTATTTTAGTTATCAAATCAAATTGTTGTAAAGTTTCACTAAAAATAAAAATTAGTTTTATTTAATTATTTTTGAAATTAACTAATTTATAAAATAACAATTATTGCACTAACTTTTTAGTAGGACTGTCAACTTGTTTGATAACATTCCATACCAGTATATAGCCGTTATCCTTACCATAACCTACTTGCGGTGTATCATATATCTGACCCTCACTTGTGGCCATCATTTTGTAGTCATCATTAAGTGCTGGATTATACCAACAAATCTCTGCACCCATTAATGGTTTCAAATTACACTTCAATTTAACCCTATGTTTCTTATCGCTTGTATAGACTCTCTATTAATGTAACAAAAAAACAAATTTTAATTAACAAACAACTATAGTTAAAAAAAATGTGTAGTATTGGTATTACCTGTTGACTCCAATAGTCCCGGGTCGTACCCCTTTCGTAAAATGCTATCATCAATAATAGTACAGTACATAATTGATTGTATAGTAGAGTGTAAGTCATGATTAATATTGTTTAAACAAAAACTAATAATTACATACAGAGTAGTATACTGGACGTCGTGGCAAACCTATGAACCAATTCAACGGTAGTGTGATGTACTCCAACCAATTGAAACCTATCGTTGACCAGCGGTCCACCCGAATAGCCTTTGGCCACACCACTGATATGATACAGAAAAGCCTTATCATTGGTCGACGTGCTGTCGGAAAACCATTGCTTATACAGACTGGCGGGACAACCAATAGTACCGACAGTAGTCAATAGGGAGCCAATTTCGGGATATCCTAAACAGACTACTTGTTGGCCAAAATAGCTGTTGGCATCGTCGTCACAAAAATCAAACTCATCGGTCAGTTCATCATCGGTGCCCAACATATACATGATCCGTACGAGAGCCAGGTCGTAGTGCGGTTCAACGTACAGCACCTGTACTCTACGTCGGTTCACTTGCTCGTAGCCCCCATTTGACCGTTTCCGTATATATCGTACATAGGCGTCGCGCATGTCGGCGCACACGTGTGCATTGGTTATTAGTAAGCCATCTTCGGCATTGACCACACATGCCGTTCCTTCTTTAAGTGGATCAGTCGTGTGTTGTCCTTTGACCCAGATTTTGGCCACTCGTGTAAGTGATACAGTACCGATGCGAGCAATGGTTGGTTTAGTATCGACCAACTGAGCGCATCTCATGCTTGGAGAGTAACCGGGACTTACAGATCGTCGATGTTTTTGATATGATGTTAGTACTATACAATTGATGGCCACTAGTCTTGTTATACGATTGAGTGATACCATTATTTTGCAACTATTATCATAATTTGACTTTTTAATTGTTTTCAAAATCAATAATTTAACAAATAATAGCTAACATTTGGTAAACATAATTAAAATCATATATTTTTCAAATTTAATAGTAACGATATATTAAATATATCATATTTTTATTATTGAAAATATTTATTTTTTTATTTGGTTTACAATGTTTGTCGCGCGTGACGCGCGTGTTATTAATATCACAATTTACAGAATTTTTTTATTAATACTGTAAATGATTTTTCAAAATTTTTCGTTCATTTATTCTATTTTATTAACTGTTATTTCATTAAATATATTGATTTTATTTGCATTTAAATGATTGTCAAAAACTTATTATCATTGACTTTGAGGACTGTGTTGGTGGTAGTGTTGATCCTTATCTGTGTTATGGCCAGTAATAACACTGTTGCCGATGATGATACCGGCGCTGGTGATAGTAAATACGATACCTTTAAAATGTGTCTGAATAGCAACGAACGGTTTATATCGTTATTCAATTTGGGTAATGATCTGATCTTTCAGACACTGGAGGGGTTTATCAAACTTAAAGACAGTATCGATCGGGACATTGGTCTGGAAAGACTACCGTTTCTCAGGTCTAAATTTATCAACGATTATCGTATGAGAGACCAATTGGCAAAACATTTCAGTGAGTATTTTTTGATAGTTTAGTGATAGAGGAGTAAACTAATTAATAAATATCTATCCCATCAATAGACGTATCGGAGCCAATATTTGGTTTTACCTACCAGTTTATGAGCCGCGAGTGCGGCGAACTGGACTCAATTGACAATGAGTGCAGTCAAATCTACGACAACTCTCAGGCCTACTATACCTGTATCTATGGTCACGAAAATAATACCGGTATTTCAACATTTCTTTTTATACCATATATAACTAATTATTAATTATAGGCAAAATCACACACATATCACGAAAATACAACCAATCATACATTGAGCACATCCTGACACCGAAACTACTGGAGAGGACCGAAAAATACTGTGCCCTACGATACAAACACGAAGAGAACATACTATCCAAAGAGGGTGTACTGTCCGGTACGTCCTTTCGATTGCCACACTATCCGTCGCGTATTATAAAACTTAACCAAACTGTCGATAACACGACCGTTGATGTATCGTTCAATGAGACCGATGGCAGTGAATCAAACACAACAACGGGTAGTAATGAAACCCTAAGCGACAACTATATGCCACTCTATGAAGACAAAATCACTTATATGGTATTCACATCGGAACCGATAAACATTACACGCAATGCAACTGTCAATCTGTTGGGCTACCAATTCTGCAAAGTGTACGACGATAATCTAACCGACACCTCCAACAATAATTGGCTGTCCGGTTATAGGTATCATCTGCCAAAAAGTCAGATCTACTATGTGTTTCGTTATTTGAATATTACATTTGCCTGTCCGCAAAACTGTACGCTCAGATCTCCACTGAGTGTCATCGAAGTGTCCAAAGAGCTGAAGATGTGGTGGTCGGTGAGTATATCTAAACATAAAAAGATTACTAAATAATTGATCCACTGATTGATGGTTTGGTGTACTTTTATTTCTTGAAGGGCGAACTCTTTGGTACCAATCAATCGTTTTACAGTCTGTTTGGTTGTGATTCATACGATGTGGTCTATGTTAACAACTTTTCTCCCAACGATTTCTGTGCCGAACAACGCTCTCAATCTGTGTTCACAATGGGTGACGATCTGTATATGCAAAATAACGGCCGTTTCTGGCGCTCGTATGGCAAACGATTTACTAATCCCAGAGGTAGTCCAAAGCCGGTACTGACGCTCAGCGGTATTGTCTTTGATTCTGATACGACACAAGTCATCAACGATGAAGGCTTCGGTAAAATAAAAACGTTTTTTTTATTTGATTTTAATTTATTTAATATTTATTTTATTATTATAATTTTGTTTACAGATATCACTCAACCGGTAATGGGTTTTACATTCAAATACTTTACGATAAACCCGTTGTCATTGTCGTCGTGTGACAAGAATACATGGAAATCTGTTAGGTGTCGACTCTATCTGATGCCCGATCACTATCGCGCCTGTATTTATGGCTACAAGATTGGCCAAAACGGACAAAATACAAATACCAAAATGGAATCACTACCGTTTGAGTACACAGCGGCAGGTTTGAGAAAAATACTCAACAAATATTGGGTCGGTTCGCTAGAGCTCCGGGATGTCTATCAGGAAACGCGCAGTATTTGTGATTATATCCTATTTAAGATTCTGGAAATACCACACGTAACAAAAATGCATTCAATTACTGTACGCAATCGTAACAGTAGTTATGGCTATCGGCAATGGTTTGGCATTCAAGCTATGGTAACAGTGCGCGAACCGAACAAACCCGAAGCACTTGAACTGATCGATGCCGAGATCAACAAACAGCCCCATCATATCATGAATGAAGCCGAGTTTGTGTACAACAGGACAGCCATTCATGTGTCGGTAAAGTTAGGTTTGGGCAATGGTGAAGAAACGCATACCGAGTACGGCATGTACTATACGAACCAGTCGTGGATATTCAGCACTCGGCGTAAAACCAGTGATAATATGCTACAAATTGAGAGGATCTTACAGAAAAATATGCTAATTGTAATCAAAACATTAAACTACAACTATACCTAAACCCCATTTCCTTCAAAAAAAAACTAACTGTTTTCATTTACACTAATACTACTCCCTGTTCCAGAATCATAGCCATTCGTTACAACGTTTTCATGAATGTCCATTCAATCAAAGCTATACACTGATAACAGAATCCAGACAAGTGGTAGGTGGATGTCCGACAGGTAATAACAGTTTTATCGGTGTCTTCAATGCCGGTGAACAGGTGTACTTTCAGAGCGGTCGACGCTTTTATCGGTACAACAAATTGCGGAAAACTTTTGTTTACGACAGATATGCGACAAACGTATTGAACGATCACTTTGGTAATGATTGTACTAAAAATAAGAGTCAAAATAACATTTAATATAAAATTATAATTTAATTTTCAACAGATACTAAACATAGGATAATAGGTTATTCTTATTTAAATTTTGGTAATCAATTTCGGACAGTTATCGTGGGTCGACCCAAATGGAGAGACATATCGATGTATAAAAATCTAACACTCGTTAGTCTATATCGTATGTATTATACAATTAAGGGTCAAATGTCGGCACTGATACCCGACAACGAAGCGGAACTCTATTACGTCAAGTATCCGTTCGACACAATCGACAAACAATATCTCGACATCAATATCACCAGCGATTCCATACTAGGAATCGGATATCTTCAGCGATCGATGAGTTGGAAACAATATAAAGACCGAATGCTATCCAATGCTGATCTGTATCCGCCCGGCAAACAAACTAATCCATTTGTAGTCATATATGATAAGAAAGAGTACAATTTGTTAAATGTGTCGAAAAATCTAATACAATTGGGAGGATATCCCGCACCGTTTGTACACTTTATGCCGTTTTCACAAGAATTTCAATCGTTTAAAACTGATTACAAACGCAATGACTTCAAAAATATTATGGGTTTGTTTGCATTGGATGGCGACCTGTATTTAGTGGCACTTAAAACGGGTGATACTGTGTACAGAGTGCTAAAGATCAGCACTGGTGACGACTTGTCCACCAGTGTTGTGGTTAGTATTCTTCTCTCTTAACTTTACATAACATAACATAACATCTAAACCTAAACTTTATATCTTTCTCTATCTCTTTCTTAAGTCTGACACCAAGTTTGACGACTTTTTTCAGTGTATCCCAAGAGAAGAGTCGTCGTCAACTAATTCAAAGTCATCGCAGGGTTCGGGAAAAATCTTGTTGTTAGCCGTTTTGGTACTAATTGTGATAATCCTAATGGTAATGGTCGCAGTCATACCCTGCCCGACTCCGTCCGGATCGGCCAAAACCGTCACCGAACAGTCTGTCAGCGATAAAAGTGTTGGCGAAGAAAAATCTGTCTCAAAGTCTAAGTCGACGGAATCGGTCACAGATAATAGTGCCGACAATTCAGTGCCAAAATCCAATGAAAATCAGACACAACAACAATAATATTGAATGTTATAATCACTAAAAATGTGCATTAATTTTTAAAAAATATTTGTTTTATTATTAATACGTTACCTGTATCTCATACTATTTGTATTATACATGTATTTTTATTTTGTTTATACTTATCTAATACTTATTTAACAATATACTAATTATAATTTTTGTATTCAATTTAAAATATAATAGATATTTGAATTTTATTTTGCTACTTAATACTATTAAATAATTTTTTATTGTCTCAAATATTATAAAATATTAGTGTGTATATATACAGTATAATATTCAATAAATTAATATTCAATTAAATTATATGAGTGTTTTATACATAATATAAAATATATTTCTAGTTAAATTAAACATTAAAATTAATTAAGCATTTATTACTGTATATTAATCTAACTTTTTTCAATAAATACTTTGTTATTTATTTTTCATTTCATACAATTACTCTATTTGTTTAACACGTACCGTACTTTTTAAACGCGCGTAACTTATAATAGAAATTTTAATTCAAATTATTTATTCAAAAGCATTCAAATTTGTAAAAAAAATCATATCATTTTATTAATAATAACAAAATGTTTAGACAAATGAATGTTGTCATCAAATACTTGTCATTGGTTTTAGTTATCATTTTCGGTATTAGCATACAATATATCTATTCGGACGGCACCGACTATACCAGTACTGGCGGCTCAGATGAACCGTTAGTTAACAAAATATGTCACAACGACCGGTTCATATCGGTATTCAATTTGGGAAACGATTTGATCTTTCAATTAGCCGACGATTTTTTGAAGCTCACGGATTGTGTCGATCGGGACAGTGGTCTCGAAATGTTGCCATATATTAGATCTAATTTTGTTAACGATCATCGTATGAGACAATACCTAAAACAGTACTTTAGTCAGTATTATAATAATTAATGAAAATATTAATAAAAATAATATTGAAAATACAATTTTTTTTCTCTAAACTGCGAACAGACCTGTCGTTACCGGTGTTTGGCTTTACCTATCAATTTGCTAGCAGACAGTGCGGCGAAGTGATCGAGGACTACCTTAACGAGTGCGCCCAAGTGTACGACGACTCACGTATTTTCTATGCCTGTATCTACGGGTATGAGACTAAAAGCGGTACAGTATTTTTAATTATATACCATCCCATTTCACCCCCACTTTTGTAATTTTATGGTGTTATTGATATAATAGGCAAAATCATATCCATTGCCCGCAAGTATAACAACTCGCGTATCGAAGAAATCCAAGTTATTGGCCTACGCTTACGTAATGAACAGTACTGCGAGCTTCGGTATCAGCATCCGGACAGTCCACTGTCGAAACCGGGTATACTATCGGGTACGTCATTTCGCTTGCATCATTACCCGCAAATTGTAACCATCAATGCTAGCGATGACAGTAGTATAGGGTCAAACAGCAGCGTCTCATCAACGACAGCACCGGCAGATAATGTAACTGACAGCGACCTAAACAATGCCACAATATTTCGGCCATTATATGAGGATAAAATCACTTTTATGATGTTTACGACTGATACGAAAAACAGTAGCCAACAGTCAAGCGTTCATATGTTGGGCTATAAGTTTTGCAAAGTGTATGACGAAGATCTCAACAATACGGCCACCAATAACTGGCTGTCCGGTCGCCGATATTATATACCGAAAAGTCAAGTGTATCACGTGTTTCGCTATCTGAATCTGACGTTTGCGTGTCCGCAAAACTGTACACTTCGATCGCTATTAAGTATTATTGATGTATCACCGGAGCTGACTGTTTGGTATTCAGTGAGTATCGATTTAATTGTTTTTTATAATAAATTTTTATCACAAAATTTCAAACTTACTGATGGTTTGGTGTACTTTTATTTCTTGAAGGGCGAACTCTTTGGTACCAATCAATCGTTACACAGTCTGTTTGGTTGTGATTCATACGATATGGTTTATGTTAACAACTTTTCTCCCAACGAGTTCTGTGCCGACCAGAGATCGCAATCGGTGTTCACAATGGGTGACGATCTGTATCTGCAAAATAACGGTCGTTTCTGGCGCCGATACGACAAACGATTTACAAACCCCAGAGGCAATCCGCTACCAGTGCTGACGCTTAGCAGTATTGTATTTGACTCAGACATTGCACGACTTCTTCACGAAGAAAATATCGGTTTTAAAATAATTTATATATTTTTAATGAGTTTTCTTTTATTTTAAATATTTAAAATAATATCGTTTTCTAATTTTCAGACATTACACGACCCGTAATGGGCTTTGCATTCAAATATTTTACGATAAACCCGGTGTCACTGTCCACTTGCGGTAACAACAAGGCATTGTTATCAGTTAGGTGTCGACTCTATTTAATGCCTGATAATTATCGCGCCTGTATTTATGGCTACAAATTTTCTGATAAAGTATCAGATAATCACCAAAAACAACAGCAGCGCATGGAATCGTTACCGTTTGAGTACACACCGGCAGGTTTGAGAATAATGCTCAACAAATATTGGGTCGGTTCGCTAGAGCTCCGGGATGTCTATCAGGAAACGCGCAGTATTTGTGATTATATTCTATTTAAGATTCTGGAGATACCACACGTAACAAAAATGCATTCAATTACTGTACTCGACCGCAACAGTAGTTATGGCTATCGGCAATGGTTTGGCATACAGGCAATGGTAACAGTGCGCGAACCGAACAAACCCGAGGAACTGCAACTAATCGATGCCGAGATCAGCAAACAGCCCCATCATATCATGAATGAAGCCGACTTCGTATTCAATAGGACTGCAATACATGTGTCGGTAAAGTTAGGTCTGGGAAATGGCGAGGAAAAGCATACCGAGTATGGCATGTATTACACGAACCAGTCGTGGATATTCAGCACTCGGCGCACAACTCGTGAAAATATGTTGTCTCTGAAAAAGATTCTGCAAAAAGATATGCTAACGGTTTGTATATCTTATTTGTGGACAACTAAGTATTAATAATATAAAATAATAAGAAATAATATTTTTATATAAACCAGAATCACACTCATTCTCTGCAAAGTCTCTATGAATGTCCATTCAATCAGAGCTATACACTGGTATCAGATGAAAATCATGTTAGACACGGATGTACTGCTAATTCATTAGTTTTCCAAAGTGTTTTCAATGCCGGAGAACAGGTGTACTTTCAGAGTGGTCAACGATTTTATCGGTACAACAAATTGCGAAAAAAATTTGTTTACGACAGATATGTGACAAACCTATTGAACGATCATTTCGGTAAAGCCTTCTAAATGTTTAGTTAGAAATTTTTATGATTATATAATTATAAACTACTTGTGATCATCTATAGATACAAAACATCGGGTAATAGGTTATTCTTATCTAAATTTTGGTAATCAATTTCGGACAGTAATTGTTGGTCGACCCAAATGGAGAGACTTATCATTATTTAATAACCAAACTCTCAGAACTTTATATCGTATGTATTACTCTATAAGAAATCAGTTGACGGCTCTGATACCCGACAATGAAGCGGAACTCTATCACGTCAAGTATCCGTTCGACACAATTGACAAACAATATCTCGACATCAATATCACCAGCGATTCTATACTAGGAGTCGGATATCTTCAGCGATCGATGAGTTGGAAACAATATAAAGACCGAATGCTATCCAATGCTGATCTGTATCCGCCCGGCAAACAAACTAATCCATTGGTTGTCATCTACGACAAGAAAGACTATAATTTGTTGAATATATCGAAAAATCTAATACAATTGGGAGGATATCCCGCACCGTTTGAACATTTAATGCCTTTTTCGCAGGAATTTCAATCAATGAAAACTGATTATAAACGTTATTATTACAAGAATATTATGGGTTTGTTTGCATTGGATGGGGATCTGTATTTAGTGGCACTTAAATGGGATGAAACCGAACACATGGTTTTGAAGATCAACAGTGGGGACGACTTGTCTACTAGTATTGTGGTCTGTATAAGATTGATCTATTGTATTGTATATATACAGTAAAAAAGTTTTTAAACAAACAAATATTTATATATATTTTTAATTTAGTCGGACATAAATTTTAAAGACTTTTTCAAATGTGTCGCTAAAAATGAGTCTTTTTCATCAGCTGATCAGTCATCGTCTGGACTATCGGCAAGAATTGTCGTTTTTATCATTTTACTGATCATTTTATTGATAATAGTTTTGGTTATTGCTGTTATGCAATACCAGTCATCGATATCATTACAATCATCGTCATCGTCAACAACGGTGAAACCCAAATCATCCAATCAATCAATCGGTGATAAAAGTAATGATAGTTTAGCAACAAAATCTGATGACAACAACACCAACATAACGACACAAACGTCAACTAAAAGTGTCGATTAATTTCCAGTTATTTTTATTTTAATATTAATAAATATATTCTACTGTTTATATATCTTTTTTTATGTAAATTTATTTAATATAATTGTTATTTTAATAAAATATTCGTAAATTTAATTGTATGCAATATTTTTTTAAAAATCAATTTAGATAATATATCGGTTTATATCAATCAATATATTAAACTAAAAATTAATTAAATCTAAATTAATTTAGTTATGTTTAAAAATGTGTGATTTTACAATTATTTAGTTTAATTAATCGTAGTAAAGTTTTTTATATTAAAAACTTTTTAAACATAAAAAAATATAATAACATTGCATTCAAATACAGTATATAATATTTTTTATTAATAAGAAGTACATGTTAAAATTAAATTTAGGTATTATTAATTCATATTCATATATTGATTTAATAGGTATATATTTGTTGTTATACTATAATGTATATATCATATAATTATAAATAAATAATTTAATTTATTTCAAAAATTAATTAAATTGTATAATTACTAAACATAACCTTATGTGCAAAATTAATTATAGTAACTATTTCTAATAAACATGGCTTTTTAAAAAATATTATTTATAATTAAAAAATAGTGTATTTAATATAAATAGTTTAATATTATATTGATTATATAAATATTAAAATAGATTATCAAATAATAATGATTAAATCTAAACTCTGGATACTTGTATTAACATTATTATTAATAATTACAATAAGTAAATTTGTTAAATAATTATTTATTTTAGATTACATATCATTCAATTATTATTTTATTAAATGTTATTTATAATTAATTATAACAACTGTATTATTATTATAATATGGTTGATATCAATTAAATTGCAAATTGCAAGTAATGTTGTATTTGTTTGCATTCATTTATTAATAGGTTTGGCCGACGGTGATGGCGATGGCGAGGAAGGCAACGAATCGACTACCACTGAAGCATCGGAAAAGGTAACAACCGGTGGTAAAGACGGAAGCAAAGCTGGCGGTGACGGCGAAAACGATACGTGCGGTTTGCGTCGGACAGATGTGGACGCAAAGGCACGCAAGAAGTTGGTCGGCGCCAAAGGTATGGGTCGTATTGTCGGCGGTGTTGATGCCGAGCCATTCGAGTTTCCGTGGCAGGTGTCCATTCAGATTTATATACCGAAGAAGAAAAAGATTGAACACTTTTGCGGCGGTGCCGTCATCAGCGACCAGTGGATATTGACGGCCGCTCACTGTCTTGATGTGTACGGTATTTTTGTCATAACCATTGCTAGGCATTGTTTTAACTATAAATACTCATTTTTAAAAAAAAATTAATAATTAATATTATCCACAATATTCAAGTCTAAAAGGAAAAGAAAAACATTTGATCATAAAAATGGGATCAAATATAATGAAAGATCCGAATACACCCAACTATTCGGTCCAGAAGTTTACTCTTCACGAAGAATGGAATCGCAAAACACAGGCCAACGATATTGCAGTGATTAGAGTCAATGAAAAGATAACATTCAAGACTAATGACAACCATCAGTATGAGGTAAACAGTGTTTGTATGCCAGAGAAAGAGTTTGAGGCCAACGGTACGGCCACACTGTCCGGTTTTGGTCAGACCGGTGCCACTGCATCGCAGTCGGACAACCTTCAAAAGCTGGACGTTCCCATCTATAATCACAAAAAGTGTGCCCGCAATTACAAGAAATATGTGGAGATTAATGAGAAAAAACTGTGTGCCGGAGGAAAGGGAGGTCAGGACTCGTGTATGGTATGTCATTGTTTTGCAAATATGTGATTAAACTATTTAGTTTTTTACAACCAATTTATAAAATTGTTTGACAATATAATTAATTACAAAAGATATAGTTTTGATGATAATTTTTTTTTTTTGTATAAAAGGGTGACTCTGGAGGACCATTAGTTCAATTAAATCCTAATGAAAACCGCATCCAAATTATTGGTGTTGTATCTTTTGGCTACCCGTGCGCTGTGAAAGATATGCCCGGCGTTTACACCAAAGTTTCTCATTATATCGATTGGATTATAGAGAAAACTAAAGAGCATACAGTATAATGAAAAATGGTTGTCACACTTGTAATGACTTTCAATTATAATTATGTGAATTAATAAAAACTTTTGCTAATAAATCACTAATTTTACATCATTTTGTATTTTTTTTATTGCAACACTAATCTGCCAATTATTAAAATTTATTATAATTCAATTATAATACAATATTTCAAACAAACATTTGCCACATATTAATAATTGGTTTGTTAATTTCAAAATGAATTGCCATATAAATAAAAAAAAATAACAACAAATACATAAAATTTGTTAGAAAAATGGTAAGTATTGAATATGTTTATATATTAAAACACTTATACTATATTTATTAATAATTTAATGTATTTATTATTTACATTTCAAAGTTATTCTAAAGGTATTAATTAGTATTTTTATACTAAAAATTGTAAAACTAATAGTAAAACTAAATAATACAAACAACAAAAATAATAGTAAAACTTTGAATTTTATTTTGAAACAATTGAAATTGTATTAAGAGACAGAGATAAAAAAAATAACAGAAAAAATAATAAATTTTAATTACAATACTAATTAATTTGTATAATTTGATGACATATTCTAACTATACATTACAGTAAATTTATATTATTGAATGCCTTTTTATTAGAAAACATTTTTAATGAAATTATTAGTATTATTATGATATTATGTTTATATTAGTCATCGGATATCAATTTGTTTACTCTTTGATTTATATCATAAGTGGTATCAAATGGTCTGATGGAGTCTTCATTGTCTTCACACTTCGATTCGTTTTGTTGTTTCATTTGTTTTGTCTTTATTACTGTCTTATCCTTGTTGTCGGATTCCGATTGATTGACACTTTGATCGTTCACTTCTATCTTCTGTGGCTTTTGTTTCGGTGGTTTGACTTTGGCTTTAATCTTTGGCATCATTTTAGTCTTAGCCTTCTTTTTCTTGTCACCATCTTTTACGGGCACATCAGATGCCGACTCATCTGTTTCATCCATAACCTGTTGAACTACTGTTTTCTTCTGTGACTTTTTATTATAGCCTTTGTCTTTCTTCGGCGATTTTTTGACGACATTTTTAATGTCCGCCACTTTTTTCTTATCTGTCTTTTCCTTCTCTTTTTGATCTGTCTTTTCCTTCTCTTTTTGATCTGTCTTTTCCTTCTCTTTTTGATCTGTCTTTTCCTTCTCATTTTGATTTGTCTTTTTCATGTCTTGTTTGTCATCCTTATTGATCACTTGGTTAACAATTGGTATTTGTTGGCTCTTCTGTTTTAGTTCATTGACTTCTTGTTGTGTTTGTTTACCTCTATTTTTTTGAATGTATTTTTCGACTTTAGTTCTGTAAGAGCTATAGTAATGTTTGCCACCCGTCGTCGGCTTATCGGTCGTATGCTCTACCGGTGCAGTCATTGGCTTATTTTGCATTGTCATTGTTTTTTGTGACTTTTTTTGCGTTTGTGACTGCTTTTTGCATCGACAGCACAGATAAATGGCTAGACCTATGAATATGAGTGTCAATAGCACAACAATAGCACCCATTACGTAGACAATTATCTGAGTGGTATAGGTATCTGTTCCTACTGTTTCGTCAGTGATAACGGGCGCCGATGTACTCAATTCAATCATAACTGTCCACAACATTATAAAAATCATTTTAACTGATGTCAACATTTGTTAGATACGTTATCTTTAAATATCAAATTAAACGGTAATAAAAGTCAACAAATAATTAATCAATTATTGATTTATTGAAAATTAATTCAAATCTTTAGTTTGTATTTACTAATCACGCGAATCTATATTAAGTAATTGTTAGATTATTTAGACTAAATTAGAGAAAAATCAGGTTTTTTTATAACTCTGTATTGAAAATTTCAATTTGAAATCAATGAGAATTAAAGCTAACAATTGAGTTGTAATGCGTTTAATGCATGAAATAAAAAAACTGTCACTGAATTGAAAATTTGAATTCAAATTCATTGAATTGGAAACAGAATTCTTTACAAACCGTTTGAATAATAAAATTAGTTCTTCTGTTTCGCAAAAAAAAATCTTCTGTCTTTGTCTCACATTTTTTGACCACTTATTTGCCGATTATTGTCACTTAAATTATCAGAATTTTATTGTTAATCTATAACTTCTGTAGTGTTTTTGTAATTTTTCAGTTTTTACATAATTCTGTTAATTTGTTGAGTGATTTGATTGCTGACCTCAACAACTGTCGATCGATTGATCAGTTATGAGCCGTTTTTTGTCTGCACTGGTCATCCATTTCAGGTCTGTTTCTGTTATTTTAAGTTATGAGTAAATGATGTGATCACTGATTACACTAAAGCGAGATCTCTTGTTTTGTTGTTGTTGTCCTATCAAATGATTGTTTGAATGTTTCTTTCTTTGTGGACACCATCGATATAGACAACCATTAGTGGTGGCCATACCACTTGTAGGCGCCGCCCATTGGTGTCAGCACCAGAAACGCTGCGCCTATTTGGCTGACGATAAAACAATACAACAAGTCTGTGAGAGAGCGCTGAAATCGGTGGTCTCTGTTCGGGTTTATGTCGAGAAAACTGGTAGACCGGACATTAGTCGCATATATTCAACCAGTTCTGGAGTCGTCTTAGATGGTAAAAGAGTGTTAACCACTTGTCGAGCTGTCGGTAACTCAGATTCCGTTGAAGTGGGAGTTGGAGATCCACTTAATCAGCGCATAGTTTCTTACAAATGCAAAGTTGACTACAGAGACGAAAAGAGAGATTTGGCAATTTTACAACCACTACATAGAGATGCAAAGGTAGAACCAATAGAAATGGGTGGCAAAGACTATGACTTTAAAGCTTCCGATAAAGTGGTGGTCGCCGGTCACGCCTGGGATTACACGACCGTCAACGCTGGTATCATAAGTTGGCCGAATCGTACTGGCGAAGATATCACCAAAATTGGCAAAAAGTATCCGCTAATCGCCGATAAAACCCAATACATACAACACACGGCTGCATTTGCCATCGATGACATCGGCGGACCGCTCATTCATGTGGACAAAAGAAAAATGATTGGACTCTACTTCTATCAGCAGCTCATCGACAGTATTAACACATACTTTGCTATTCCCGTTAAGGAGATTGACCGTACGTTTATAATTAAACAAATAGAGAGAGAGAGAGAGAGAGAAAATGTGATTTAAAAGTTATTAAATGTTTTATTTGACTATTCATTTGTTTTGATTGGTTTGTGTCACAGAATTCTTAACTGAAGCGAAAGGTTACTTAAGTACAGACACAGGAGTGCCTGTACGAGAAAAAGAGCAAAAGAGTGGCGACGCTAAAAGTAAAGCTATGGAACCCAAGGCACCGAAGATACCCAAAGAACCCAAGAAACCCGAGGAACCTATGGAACCGCCAATTGTGTTACCTAAGCCGGGCACACCAGGTTGGAAGCCTAAAGGAATTCCCAAAGATCCGGATGTACCAGGATGGCAGGAAGCAAAGAAAAGGAAGCCTAGACCTCCATCCAAAAAACCTGAAACTAAACCACAAAAACCTCAGCGCTGGGCTGATCCACCACGTGATCCAAAAAAAGAATTTCCACCAAAACCAAGACCACCACCACCGAAGCGGACGCCATCACATAAACCGCGACCAACAAGTGATGTGCAATTGACGCCAGAAAACAACAACATTGAGAAACAGTCACTACCAACTGACACAGGCATCAATGAAACTCCCGAAACCTGGCCACCGATGCCGCCTATCTCTCAACAACCACAACCCGAACCCTTTTTATCTGATTTTTAGGCAAAATCCGAAATATTTTTACCGATTCTTTTCTCTATTTTATTATTTATTTGTTTTTAATTAACTTTTAATTATTTATAATTTTATTTTATTTTGTTTTCAATTTAATAGCAATTATTTAGCTATTTATTAATTTCTAAATTTTTATCAATTATTTTTTCTTTACGATAAATGTATTTATTATTATTTTGTGTATTTATGTATTTATATATTTTTATAACAATTCAAAGAGATGATATTTATTTTAACTATTTGTACAATTAAAATGTTTTCCCACTATTTATTTGATAAAATTAAATGTATTTTTATTTGATATTTTATTTTTAAATTATTTATAAATGTTGTTTAAGCCAACCCTTTCACCTCTCATTTCAATCTATTGAATACAATAAATTGATGCTCAATCCCAGTGATCATTGAATTTAATTACAAATTGTAATAAATGAAAAAATATTTATTTAGATAACTATTTATTTTAAATAAAAAATATAATTCATAGAAACTAAACAAAAAATAAAACAAAAAATTTCTAATCAATCTTCATCTTCGGCTTCAACAAGAAATTCTGTTCCCTTTGAAAATACTGGCAAATGTTCGTTGATTTTGGTTAATCTTTGCTTAGGTAAGGGCTGTTGTTGTTGTTGGTGTTGTTGTGGTGCTGTTGAAGAGTCAGATAAATGTGAATTATTTTCAGCAACAGTTCCCTCATTTCCATAACCAGGTGATTCAGTCTGTCGTCTAATAGTACTGGGTCTCTGTATATTGATTTTAGGAATTGTTAGTTTGGGTATCGACACCTGTCTCAAATAACCCATTTTTAACACATAATACAGAAGTGCGGCTACCAGTGCAATGACCACAATAGTACTTATTATACTCATGAATATACTTAATGTTGAACTTGATTTAGTTGCCAATGGTTTGGGTAATTCTTGTGGATCTAATACAAATACATCAAATTATCAATTAATCTAATGTGTGTTTGTGTGTGTGTGTGTCTGTGTGTGTGTGTGTGTGTTTATATTTCAGCATAAGTTTATCAGAGTAGACCTACCTAAACAATAGGGTTCGGTTCCACTCCATTGTCCACTAGAAGTACAAATTCTCAACTGAGAACCGACCAATAATTTCTTAGAGGTCGCAATACACGAATGATTGATAAGACTGTCGATAATGGCCACAAGTTTTTGGTCCTTTTGGACTACATTATCCCAACGGGTTTGCATGTATAGGAAGTTAGGTTTAGATGGTTTATCCATTGGACATAATTCCACTTTTTCGCAACTGGGAAAGTCATCTGACCAACGTCCATTTCTACCGCATGTTACTTTTGTAGGTCCAACCAATTTGTAACCTAATAAAAAAAAGCCATACTATTACTGTTATTATCACTCAATTAGTAATTTTGATTATCTAAACCTGCATCGCAAGTATAGATCCAATCCTTGCCGTTTGGTTGGACAGTACTGTGCAACGGAACGTCTGGTGTTCCGCAATCGTCTTTGGACACCATTACGGCCAACGAACACAACGATATGTTTGTGGTCTTATAGTTTGTATCAAACTTTTTTGGATCAATAAATAGATCTACTTTTCGGGCGGTTTTCTTGGACCGATACTTTGGCTCTTTCATATCGCACGTAAAGAAAAAGAATGTACCGATCTTGGAATGGGTGTAATCCCAGACCGATGTCAGCACACAATCAGTCCGCTCGACCGATGCCGTCACCGGACTTTTAGCCAATATTTTCGGGTCACTAATCTTGCGTTTGGCACCAAAAAAGCCGCCCGGATGCAACATCACTACAAAATAGGTGATAAAAGTCGTCTCGTTTAACCGCAAACTCCACCGATGCTTACTGTCCACCGTAAAGGTAGCGCACTCTCCCTTATCCGGGTCTCGCCTTTTAAATTAATATAATTTACAGTAATTAAAAAATATATGTAATTTTTCTAATATTTTAACTTTTTATTAAACAGCATACCTATAGGCAAAATGTTCATCCCATGCTGATGTCGAGTTAGTAGACATCACCAGATGCTGGTTAGTCCACTGTCCTTTATTGTCCAGATCGTACACATAGATGACATCAAGTTTAACTTTGTTTCCCCAATTGACAGCTTATACAGTATATGATTGTAAATAAAAACAAATAATAAAAATAATAATCATATAATAGTATAAAAATTTATATTTACCGCATTTGCCTACATTTCCAATCCATTTACCATTAATACAGGTTCTCTGATCTACATCACCTGACACCCAACGATAGGCTGACTCACACTGATAGGTTAGGACAGTGCCATTATCATACCATCGACGTAAGTCTGCCTGTCCACCAAACATCCTATACCGCTTTGCAGTCGTAGGCTTTGCAAACAATGGCATCGCCGGAATACCACAGGCCAGGGCTGTCTGGTTAGCTATTTTTGTCAAATTGGCAAACCTATAGACAAATAAATAACAAAAACAATATCAAGAATTTTTAGATTTTTTTCAGTATAAAAACAGACATTTCAATAGTTGTCATGTGTTTATAATTTTGATCACTTTGTTTAATATCATTAAAATGATCGGAATTGAGTTCACTGTCGTGGATACAAACGGGACTAACACCTGACCAGTTGCCATTGATGCCACACAACCGAACCGAGTCGCCAATCATAATTGAATGATTGCCATTGTCGCCAACGCATTGATAGTAGATAACACTGCCGGCCAATGCGCTAACGTTCCCGTCGTATGAGTACAGGTGCTCGGTTTTAATGCCTACACTCAGTGCACCGTTCATATCGGGCGGATACGGACACATAGCTTTCGGTTTGCACACTGGAAACGGGTCCAACCAGTTGTTGTTGAGACCGCACCGGACATCATCAGAACCTTCTAACTGGAATCCTTCATCGCATTGGTATTTATAATAGGAGTTTCCCGAGTATTTATTGCCACTTTTGATAAACTCCATTGTCGAGTACATAACAATGTCGGCCGAACCGCACCGATGGAATGGCATGAATGAGTTGGTGTACAATCGTATTTCGCAGATACTTATGTCGTTCACATCGAACTGAATATCAATAACTTGTGTCTTATCCCGTTCCCAGGCCTCCCAGTTAGAGTCACCGTCAAACTCCATGAGACAGTTCAGAGCCAAACGTTTGGTTGCATCGGTTGTATCAACAACACTGGCCACACATTCGCGCAGTTCGTTAACCTAATTAAAAATGAGATACTTAAGAGAAAATAGCCAAATGAATGAGACACTCAGGAGGAACACCTACTCTGGCATATTTGATAATTTTTGAAGCGTCCAAATTGTCGAACCGATTGCCAGTGTCTTTTATAACCACTTCAATATAGCTTATATGGCGTTTCTCTTTTGCTAAATGAAGTTTCCATGAGTGTGGCCGAGACATTGTTGTCGACCGCAAACATTTATCACGTTTGTAGTCGACATAGTAGGCAGCTACCGGGTCTCGATTTACCCAACCGTCCTCATATTTCAATGAATGATTGTTTTTATCGGCCAAATTGATGGCACTTATAATACCAAAGTTTAGCTCCTCGACTACGTTAGATATAGTAGGTTTGAAAACAAAACAAACAAAAGAGATTTAATTTTTAAGAAAAATGTCAAATATTTAATTATAATATTTACCACATTTAGGTATGGATCCAACCCAACGGCTATTTAAACATTGTCTGCTGAAATTACCCACCATTTTTAGATATTCCAATTGGCACTGGTATGTAACTGTCTCGCTTTCATAATAAACATGCCGTACTCTATCTATTTGAGCTATTAGTTAAACCAAAATTTATTAGTTTCAATATTATAGTGTTTTAGTTATTGAAAAATTTAATAGTTGCTAAATAATTTATATTAAAATTTAAATGGTCAATAATTGCATACCATTATAAGGAATGGCAGGCAAACCACAATCACAAATTGTTTGCTTAAATAAATATATCAATTTCAAGACAAAAATTATACAAATTTTATAACTTTTTATAAAAATCATTATTTAATTTAGAAATACAGTAATATTTTCTAATAATAATAATACTGTATATTATTTTATTTAATAATTTTGTTTGAAGTTTTTTGTAATAGAACTCTATATACTAATAACTTTATAATAAATTTTTTGATGTCTGATATACAGTATATTGTATTATATATATATACTGATATATTTGCAATAATAGTTAATTGCAACTATCATTTTAGCTTTACGGTATTTTTAAAAAAAAATTTATAACATTAAAATAATCAATGTGAATAAACATTGAAATATATATTTTTAATAATGTGTTTTTTTACAAATTTTAAATTACAAATAATGACATCAATATTTTCAGTGTCATTGATCAACTGTTACACTTTATACAGGTATCAAATACAATTAAATATTTATTTATTAAAATATTAAAATAAGGTTTACACAAAAATGTAAAAGTATCATTTATATTTATTTTATTCATGATTTAAAAATAACATGTCTTAATAAAAATTATTTGCTAATATTAATTTTGCTTATATTTTAATTAACAACTTTAAGAAAAAAAATAAATTTCAGTATTATAGATTATATATTATAGATTAGTTATTTATTTTAAAATGTATAATGAAAGTTAAATTATTTAAAATATTTATTCAGAGGAATATAACTAAACTTATACAGTATTTAAAATTAATACTAAAGTAAATATCTATATTTAATGTATAGTTTCTAACATATAATTAATATCTTTTTATCCTTTAAAATATATAAAAATACTTAACTAATAGAATTTTAACAAAAAATATAAAAATATACAGTTATTAATAAACTAAAAATCATTGTAAAAGTATTACTACATTATAGCTAATTTTGCATAAAATAGTTATTTTAAAAAATTATTAGATACTAAACAATTTTTTTTGTTATTATAATTTTGAGACCAATAGGAAAGTTTAATTACCGTCGGCGGCGTCCATAACCACCGCTTTCGGTAATAATACGCCATCGTTTATTTTTTGTGAAATTTGGTTTAGTTTTGTATGGTTTTTCAGTTGTAGACGACAGCAACTCCGGTACTTTAGGATAATCATCTTCTGTGAACTTAGATTGTGGTGGAAGAGTAGATGAAGGTGGGGGTGGGGGTAATGGTTGTGGTGGTGATTGAGGAGGAGGAGTCTCGTGTTCCTCTTTGTAATAATATTTATTAGGCTTAGGAGTTGTTGTGGTGGTAGTGGTGGTTGTTGTTGTCGTCGTTGCCTTTTTATGTTTTTTCTTGAGTTTAGGTTTGGGAGTTGTTGTTGTTGTTGTTGTTGTTGTAGTAGAAGTTGTTGTCTTTTTCTCTTTATCTTTCTCTAGATTTTCGTGTCCTTCTTCGTCTTCTATATCTTCTGTCTCTTCTATTTCTTTACCATCTAATAAAATGATAATAAAAAAAATAACAATAATTATGATATAAACTATTATGAAATAAATTTTAAAACCATTCATGGATTTAACATTATCGACAAGTGTAACACATATTAAATATAATAAAAATAGTTTTGTAATTGTTGTCAATCTTCTCATTGTATTATAAAATCATATTTATAGTACAAAACATAAATTTATTCTTAAATTTGCTAATATTTTCTGACTATTAAATCACAAACCAATTGTTGCTTTTATAACACAACTGTTAAATTTAAACACAAATCAATATTTTTGTATCTTATTTATAAGAAAATATTTTGTTTCTTAATTTCTCGTGTAATAAACAAATAAAATATAAAATTATCACCGGATTAAACACTATACATAGTTTTTCATTGTACTTAACCTTATTAACAAATAAAAAAAATTGTTAATAATTTTTTAAAATAAATTAATATATTTATTACAATAATTTTAAACACTGCTAAATTATATAAAATTAAGAAATAATAATTAAATGCTACAATAAATTAGAAACAAAATAAAAATTATAAACTTAATAAAACTATTTTTAAAATATCACATTTAATATGCAAATTGAGTTCAAGTTTATTATACTGTATATTTATACTGTTTATGTATTTATGATTATATATTATCATATCTTTAATTATATAATATAAATATATTTAGGATATACAGTAAATAATAATAACAATAACATTGTTATAAATTATAGTCTTTATTTTGAGAAAAAACTAATAAAAAAAGTCAATTTTTAATCTCAATGTATAATGAATGTCAAAATTATTTTCAATTAGTTATGTTATGAATTTACAATACCACTAATTTATAGTTTTAGAAAAAAATAGTTAAAAGTATTATTGCTAAAGTATTTATAATAATCGTTGTATTGTTTAAATGATAATTGCTATAATTATAATAGAAAAATTGCTTTAATAATAACATAATAGTATTTCCTGTCAACACAAAAATAAATGATAAAATCAATGAATTAATATATTTATAATTGAAACAATCAAGTCTTAATATAATTAAGTGTCAATTAAAAATATTATTTAAAAAAAAAACTAATCTTACTCTTATAAAAATATTATTTAAATAAAAAATTGTTTTTATTGATTAATTTATTCTGTAATTTGAATTAATCTTAATTAATAAATTAATGTTAACTATTTTAGTTTACTACAAGTTATAACTAATTATAACTTTGTTATAATTAGTTATTAAAAATATTTATTAGTGTTGTTTAAAACAGAAAAACTGTATATTATATTATAAAACGGTATAATATTATATTAAAACAATCTGATTAGTCATCATATCATATCTATCTACACAAATGTATATTAATGGTTATATATTTTTATAAAAAAATATCAATGATATTAATCCAATATATTTTCCCATTATTTTTAAAAATTTTAATTATACTGTAATCCATAATATTAGAAATGTAGATTTAATGTTGTAATGAACAAAAATTATAAATAATTAAAAATAAATTATTGATTATTGAAAGCGCGTGAGAGAAGAACACGTATTTTTCAAGTATTCTATAGTTATTTTGAATTTGAATTCAATAATAAATTAATTATTTAATTCAAACAATTGTTCCTAAATATCTATTGACTAAAAGTTACAGTATTTATAGAGTTTTTACAATAAGGATTACAATTAAGGTATTGATTTACTTAGTGGTTAATTTGTGATCTCATTTAATGTTTTTATAAGATTTAGATTATATTATTAGATTAGGATATAATCAGTTCTCTCAAAGAGATATTAGTTATCAGTTTTCTTTGTCCTCATATAAACGGCTACTAATGTTGTCGACAATCTCTAAACGTTTGACTTCATTGGCAGTGTTTGCTGTCATCATTTCAATTGCTTTAGTCGACGGACAGTCTAATTGGGAAGAGTCGCAAAAGACAGTGAAAGAGATGTGCAAAGAACTGAAGACTAATCATAGGATTGTCGAAGCATTTAATTTTAATAACGATCTGTTTCTGATAACTGAAGACAAACAGTCGAGAAGTAAGGATCCATTTGGCTCACGAAAGCGTTACTATTGTCTGCGTGTTTTTGATACATCAGACATCGTTGATGGCATCAGTCAATCGGCTATCTTTTCTCAGGCCATAGACATGACCCGCCACTGGTCTAACGATTTACGAGGCAATTGGCTCTTCTATTTGAAAAACTTCTTTTTTATCAATAAAAGAGAAGACTTCACAAATGCTCAGAACACACAACTGCTTGGTGTCTATCAATATCTCATTGGATTTAACAAAACAATGGTAAACTCATTCTTAAGACTAAAACAATAAGTGAAAACCATTTGGGCAAACATTTGTTGAATTTTTAGTTTTTAAAAAAAAAACAGATAAACAAAAATAAATTTAATTACTGATATCTTTAGATGGACTCCATCGAAATGTTTGATGCCTACCGGTTCCCGGTTGGAGAAAATAAAAGGCTAAATATTTTCGACATAAAAGATCCCATTAGAATCAATACAAATATATACAAATATATACCGAAAGAGGATGAATTCAATTTGATGTCATTGGCGGTAAAGTTACCTCAAGAGGATATCAGTAACCGAATTCATTCAATATTAACTTTACCGTCGATTGGAAAAGCGACCACTGATTACGGACGATATTTTGTCTACTATTTGGGTAAGTCATGGATAAAACAAAAACGTTTTATTAACTTTAATAATCACTTACACTCCTCTTATTAACTCTTAATTGAAATAATAATAATAATAATTTCAGAGAAACCCCGAAAATCATTGGTAGAAGAACAGGGAAAATGGGAATTTAAAAGACATGTTTTTGAACCATCACTTGTAAACTATGGCGAATACAATGAACTGAACTGGGCCTACATCGGGGACAACGATACCGAAAAGTGTGTCACACAAAACATTGTCAACGCAGCGGCACTCGTGACCACTAGTACCTCTTCATCAGGTGGTAAACATGATTTCACTATTATTGAGTTCATTGACAACGAATACAAAATCAAAACCGGTTGGCAATCAGCTACAAGTGTATCCAATAACTTGACTGAAGTCGCAAACGGATCCATTTTGGATCTGTTCAATTGTACAAAACCCAAACCATTGGTCACTACAACAATAGCAACGACCATTGCTGGAGACACTGCAAGTTCTGGTGCAGAGGCTTCTACTACTACAACTAAAAAACCAACTAAACTGCCAGCATCAACAGTCAGTGTGATTACAGAGGCTGAGCCAACAGGATCTGAACCACCAGAACCTGAAGAACCGCAACCAACAGAACCCGAGCCAACTAACATTCCAATGCCTGACGAACCCAAAGATCCCGAAGAAAAGGCATCTCTATTATGGTTATGGATATTATTGATATTAGTAATAGTCATAATCATAGCATTTGGTGTCTTCTATTTATTATATATCTTTGTCGGACCATTCAATACATTTGTCCGAAGATATATCATTTCACGCGATAGGCCTCCCTCTGGACGACCCACTAAACTCACTCAAAACACACCTAAACTTATTGAACTAAAACAGATCAACAGTTAATCCGATCAACACATCTCTTGTTGTAATACTTAATGAAATATTTCTAATGTATTTTTTTCATCCAAATATTTATTCATTAATTTATTTCATTTAACTATTTATTTTATAAATTGTTTGGAATTATTTATATTATCTAAATTTTTTTGCTCTCATTATTACTATTATTAGTTATAAACTATTTGTTGAATGCAATACCGATAACTCTACTACTATTACATTTAAAAACAATTATTAAATGCTAAAACTATTTATTTTATTTAAACAATTTTTTCTGTATTTTTTTTGTTGAAACTTAATTTATGAGTATTATATTAAAAAACAACTTTGAAAATAAATATTGACTTTATAGTACAAATATATAAATAGTTTGGTTTTATTTTTTATTTATAAATTTAGGATAATGTAATTCACACTTATTATATTAGAAACTTTGTTATTGTTAATACAGTATTTTTCGTAATAGTAGAAATAAATCATTTATTAAATTTTTATCAGATTTTTATTATTATTATTATTATAAGTAATAAAAAAAATCAAAATTACAAATATTAATTAGTTATAACAAATAAGTTATATTAAATACAGGTATTAGATTGCATTGAAATTTCCTGTATCAATCATAATTTATAACATTTGAAAAATATTTTTAATATTGATTTCAACAGTACTATAATATTGGTATTTATAAAAAATATATATAAAGTTTATATAACACTAATTGTATTAAAATGCTTGTATTTATTTGCCTACAAAATGCACTATTTATTATACAGTACTATAACTCCACCCATTTTACACACAAAATATATTCCCGTAATATAAATACTAAAAAATATTAAATTATTAAAAATAATAATAAATATTAAATAAAATAATAATAACTAAAAATATTAATATATTGGTTCTTGTAGCGTTTACCGGTCCTGGGAATCCCGTATAGAAATGGTAGCCCAGACGTCCCTGAGTACCCCCATAGCACTTTCATACCTGTCCGACCTCCGCAATTTGAGATATTCGACTTTAAAGTCGATTTTTTAATGGACGTTATTTATGTATATGAGACATTATTTCAATGTACTTTTTAATGCTACTAATATATCTGAAAACAAAATTTCAATAATACTTTTAGTATTCGAGATATTTGACTTTAAATCGAGTAAAAATTATTTGCAGTATAAACCAGTTGAGAATGATAGAAAGCATTTCCATACGTACTTTTTTAGGAGTTCGTGATAAAAGTATTATTTGTTGATAGTACTATAAAATACTATCATGATTTAACAAACTTATCATTCAAGTCTAGCATTGCCAAAAATATTATAAAATTGTATATTAATTTTACACACAATTAACAATAATAAATTTATACATTTAATAAAATAAATAATATACAGTAAAAATAATAATTAAATGCAATATACAAAAAAATCGACTATAGTCGAATATCTCGAATACTATATAACTTATAGAAATGTTGATTTTATTATGATAGTTATTATTAAAAAATACATTGAAATCATATATCATATGTATAAATAACGTAATTTAAAAATTTCGACTTTCGATTTAGTCGAATATCTCGAATACTAGAAATCGTATTGAAATTTTGTTTTCAGATATATTAGTAGCATTAAAAAGTACATTGAAATAATGTCTCATATACATAAATAACGTCCATTAAAAAATCGACTTTAAAGTCGAATATCTCAAATTGCGGAGGTCGGACAGGTATGAAAGTGCTATGGGGGTACTCAGGGACGTCTGGGCTACCATTTCTATACGGGATTCCCAGGACCGGTAAACGCTACAAGAACCAATATATTAATATTTTTAGTTATTATTATTTTATTTAATATTTATTATTATTTTTAATAATTTAATATTTTTTAGTATTTATATTACGGGAATATATTTTGTGTGTAAAATGGGTGGAGTTATAGTACTGTATAATAAATAGTGCATTTTGTAGCAAATAAAGAGAGAGATTAGTGTAACACAATGTGAGTAACTATAAAATTGATATTTTCATGTTTTGTGAGAGAGAGAGAGTACTTAAATAAACAATTTGTTTTAAAAGAGACATCACATTAACACTAAACAAATACACATTGTATGACATACTTTATGGACAGTTGTGTTTGACATAATTTATATAGAGAGAGATTCAAGAGAGAGAGAGAGAGAGAGAGAGAGAGAGAGAGAGAGAGAGAGAGAGAGAGAGAGAGAGAGAGAGAGAGAGAGAGAGAGAGATTGAGAGAGAGAGAGGCGTTTCCCAGTAATTATCACTACAATTATTGATTCATTCATTCATAGAGTAATATACAGTACTATACAGTGTATACACTACTACTACAGTACAGTACATACAGTACTATAGACTCAGTGAAGCACTCAATAATAGACTACAACAACAAAAATAATATCAAATAAAAAATCATTGAATTATTGATTGATTGGCCACTGATATGATCGGCCAGTTTCGGGGCCTAAAAATAAGAAAGACATTATTTTAGGGACACGTGTTGTGGCCACCGCTGCACGTGTCTGGTCTGTTGTTGTTTGCAGTCCATTGTCGGCGCTCTTACGCCACACGACATAATCGCCGACAATGATCGGCGGTCTATTCATTTACAATCATAAGGGAGAAGTCCTCATATCCCGTGTCTATCGGGACGACATTGGGTTTGTACCACCACTTGATTGCTATCTAATAAACTGATAGCTCTTACTGATGATATCTTGTCTTTTGAATAATAGACGCAATGCAGTGGACGCGTTTCGGGTGAATGTAATTCACGCCCGCCAACAGGTTCGGTCGCCGGTGACCAATATGGCCCGAACGTCATTCTTTCATATCAAACGCGGCAACATCTGGTTGGCCGCTGTGACCAAACAGAATGTCAACGCATCGATGGTCTTCGAGTTCTTGTTGAAGATGTGCGAAGTCATGCAAAGCTATTTCGGCAAAATTAGCGAAGAAAACGTTAAGAATAACTTTGTACTGATCTATGAACTGTTGGATGAGATTCTCGACTTCGGTTATCCACAGAACACTGACACCGGTATACTGAAGACGTTTATTACACAACAGGGCATCAAATCGGCCACAAAAGAGGAACAATCGCAAATCACATCACAGGTATGTCTATTATTATTGATGTTATCAGTAATAGGTCTCAAAAGCAGCCAATTTGATATCTATCATGTCTTTGATTAGGTTACCGGACAGATTGGTTGGCGACGAGAGGGCATTAAATATCGACGCAATGAACTCTTTCTCGATGTCTTGGAGTACGTGAATCTCTTGATGTCACCGCAAGGTTTGTATATTTGCTTTACATATCTAATAACCCAACAATTAAAGACATGATTTGCTTTTCAATTACACATTATCTAAACTGTTGTATAATGTGATTGCAAATTGTGTCAAAAATCAATTATAGCCAATCAAACTCTTGTTATTAGTTTTTTGTTTATATAATTAATAACAACAAGTATTTGCTGACAGATGTATTTACCAATAAATCTATTGTATTTTTTAGGTCAAGTGTTGTCCGCTCATGTGGCCGGCAAAGTGGTGATGAAGTCGTATTTGTCGGGAATGCCTGAATGCAAGTTTGGTATCAACGATAAGATTACAATGGAGTCAAAGGGCAAACAAACGCAATCAGCAGCACTGGATGATCCGACTCGGCCCACGACGACTACCACTAGCAAGTCGTCCATTGCCATTGATGACTGTCAGTTTCACCAGTGTGTCAAACTGTCAAAGTTTGAGTCGGAACACGCCATTAGCTTTATACCACCGGATGGCGAGTACGAACTGATGCGCTATCGGATTACTAAAGACATCTCATTCCCGTTCCGAATCATACCGTTGGTTCGTGAGGTCGGCCGAACCAAAATGGAAGTCAAAGTGGTGTTGAAATCTAACTTTAAGCCGTCGCTTATTGGGCAGAAAATTGAGGTGAAGATACCGACACCATTGAACACTAGTGGGTGTCAATTGATTTGTATGAAAGGAAAAGCAAAATACAAGGCCAGTGAGAACGCCATTGTCTGGAAGTAAGTTCTTAAGATAATTGTTTTGTTGTTTCAGTAATTCTAATCGCAATTAATTATCTATTTTTTAGAATAAAACGTATGGCAGGTATGAAGGAGACTCAACTGAGTGCTGAAATAGAACTTTTGTTGACCGACACTAAGAAAAAGTGGAACCGACCACCTATTTCGATGAACTTTGAGGTGCCGTTTGCACCTTCCGGTCTAAAGGTTCGCTACTTGAAGGTGTTTGAACCGAAACTCAATTATAACGATCACGACGTTATTAAATGGGTTCGTTATATTGGTCGAAGCGGTCTCTATGAGACTCGTTGCTAATCAGGACTACGGAGAAGGAAATCCATGAGTGAGTGAGTGGTTATGCTTGAAATCTTTAGTGAAATAAAAACACGTCTTCACTACTATTTATCTTTAAAACTTAAACAAATGGTTATCCTATCTGTCTCTCTATAACACTGTTATTGAATTTACTTTATTATTTTTATTATTAAATTAATGTGAGATCATTCCACAGTTAATTAATTAATTAAATCCTAAAGTTTACTATTAATTTTATAAATTAAATATATAGTTTTTAATTGAATAAATTAATGTCTAAATGAATTATTAAATTTTAAAAAAATGTTATTTTTTGATGTTTTTTGATCACTGTTTTTTTCTATGAGTTGTAATTTCTCATATTGTTTAACAAATTTATTTATTTAAGTAATGTTAATTTTTTTCAAAATAATTCAAATGTCTTCAAAATGTTTACAAAATTTCAATTGGTAAATACTGTATCTATTAATAATTATGATTGATAAGTTAATATAGCAAAATAATAAAGCATAAGTTAATTAAAATTATTTACCGCAAACATTATTGAATTTATTAAATTAACAAATTGTTTTAAAAACAAGTTTTATTTTATTATACAATAATTGATAGAATAGTTGATTAATTTTATAGATTAATTACAATTTATATTTAGTTTATTTGCTTAAAAGTTATAATAATCTTGATATTAGACCATTTGATATAATCGCACCAAAATTCATGCAACTCTTTGACCGCTAACATCAATGATATCGATGGCATCACCAGATTGGCACCCAATTCCCATCCATTATATTTTGCATCATATATTGCACTGTAAGCCATGGGTAGTCCCTTCTTAATAATAGTGTTCATATCAGCATAAATACCGATTGCCGGCACCAATAGATTCATGAGTATCCACCAAATGATTGCCAATAGACTCCAAATGTCTAATTGCCATAACATACTGTAATCGATGTCTATTTGTTGTAATTTAATACTGGCATATAATTGAGCCGATTTGTTGCGGACAAATTCGGCAAAACATTTTCGGTGCACAAAATGCGTGTTTAGACGACAATTACAGTGGTGTATAGCGTCGTCCGATATCCACGTTCTCAGTATAGCTTGTTTACACAGACAACAACACTGTGTCATTGTGTCGGTGTTGACCATCAACTACTAGTTATACTTAATGTGTTCATGGAATTTGCAATTTATAATAAAAAAATAACTATAAAAAATAAAAATTTAAAAATATAACAATCAATTTTTTTTTAAAAAGTGAGTCTTTAAAACAGCAGCGATGCTATTAATTTCAATTATCTGGTCAACAATACGTTGGATTTAAAAGTCACCATGGTCAATGTTGTAGATAATTTCAAACTGAATAAGATTGTAATTTGACATATTTTTAATTAATTGCATGATTGGGCAGATAATTGCAGTCGACTATCATTTTTTACAATTTTTTAAAAGTCGTCAATGACTCTGAATTTTATTCAAATGATATTTGAAGCCAACAATTGACTTGTAATGTGTTTAAAATATGGAAAAAACTGTCACTGAATTCACATTGAATTGAAAACAGGATTCTAGTTTAGGTTGGGGTGGGTGTAGAGGGTTAGTAATTGGTGTGTTTGTGTGTGAAGGAAAGGGAAGGGATATTGTGAGGTTAGTTAATAGTTTTATATAAAACTATTTAAACTGTTATTTTAACTCCAGTTTCTATCAGATTAATAACAGATATAATAATTACTGTACTTTTATAATAATAAGAAATTCAAATAACAACTAATTGATGAAATGATATATTAATTATTTGTTAATTGATTTTTTTAACAAATAATTTATTTGTCAAAAACTTTATTGACTTTACACTTACTGTTGTTGTTGTTGGTCTTGAACTGGTTGTTGCAATTGTTGTAGTAATTGGTTAACAATTTGATTCAATTGAGGAAATCTCAATAATAGTAGTTCTCTTCTGTTTCCCAATTGGTTGTAATTGTCAATCAAAACTTCGACTTCATGTCTTTGTATTTCTGTGAGTCCATTGAGTATTTGTTGGTTGACGTGTTGGTAGTTAATGCCATACTGGTTGGCCAATTGGTTCCTAATAATCTGTTGTTGAGCAATCAGATCGCTGAGTTCGGTTCTGGCCTGACCTACTTGATTGCGTAATTCAATAACTCTATCGAATCGGTAGGAAAATCCCGGCTCTCGTTGTCGTGTTTGGGGATTGTATCCTTGAATGTCAATGAAGGGTCTGGTGGGTGTATTTCTAATGGTATTCAATAGGTCACCACTGAGTATGACTGTCAGCAGAGTAATGATAATTCGTTGATAACTTGGAACTGTTGTTATGTATGCTGACGTTTCTTCGTCTAAGAAACAGCTGATAAACAGAAGGAGACCAATCATAAGACAAAAGACATTCCAACCAATGTATGCATAGCGAGCGTTCACATGTCTGGCTCTTCGTATAAATTCACTGAAATGACTGGTTTGGGTATAATTGACATTTGGGTGACGAAACACTTGTCTACAAACACTGCATCTGTTGGTTGTATTACTTAAATGTGTCAATTGTTGGCAAAGACATTCAAAATGATAGCCATCCTTACAGTTGCAAACCCTCTCTAATGGCATATCATGTTCGCTATGCTCTAAACAGAAGGGACAGATGGCTTCCGGATCATTGATAATATTTTGTTGTTGTTGTTGCTCTTCTTCTTCTTCTACTTCTTCGTCTACTTCTTGATAGTTGAGAAATCTTTCGATTTCATTCATAATTAAGTCATAGTTTCTCATAAGTAAACCCCAAAAGTTTTCTTCTTCTTGAACGTGAGATTCGACCACTTCTTCTTCATTTTCTCCTCCTTTTACTACTTCATCAGCATTTTTACCCCAAAAAGCATTCCTCAAAATACCTCTATCTATTCCACTGCGACCTCTGATATTTGGTCCCCTTTTCTTCTTTTTGTGTGTTTGTCTTTTTCTTGCCATTGATTTTTTCTACTAAATATTTTTTGAAATATTTTTAAAAATACTGACAATAATATGTTTAAATAATTTTTTTTTTTAAAATAAGTCTAAAAATTCTAGATACAATAATTAAAATTATATTTATATTACATTCAAAGCAATGTTATTTCAATGGGAAATTTTTTAATCATTATTGAGCACCTGTAGGTTTTAGGAACAGGTAGGCTGGTGGCTAAATTTTGGTTATCAGTCTTTCAGTAAGTTTGACGTGCGTTTAAAACATTGGTTACATGTATTAAAAATGCACGAGACATACAATATTTATTATTAAAACCAATTATAAACTTTTTAATTTCAATTTTAAACGTTTCAATTCTATATAAAAGTCAACTATAATTTCATTATAAAGTTTTTGATATTATTTTCAATTAGATTTGATGTCTATAAAAGATTCGGTTTCCACATAAAAATTCAGATATTATGACTAAAATATAATTCAAATAATAATATAGTTATTAATGTGATTACAGTATATGTAAAATAAATATTTATATTAGTATTTTTGACACAAATATTTTATTTGTTTAATTCAGTCGACAATGACTTTACCACTCAAACTCTTTGAGGTATTGATCGTCTTGTTCTTCTTGATCTTCTTGTTGTTGTTCTTCTTGCTGTTGTTGTTGTTGTTGTTCCACTTGTTGTTGTATTTGATTAACAATTTCTTGCAATTCTGGATAACTTGTTAACAGATTTCCTCTTGAGACTGAAATATCTGCCAATTCTTGCAAATGAACTTCTATTTCATGTCTATCTGTTTCTGAGAGTCCATCGAGTAGTTGTTGATTGACATCCTCGTGATTATGGACACCAAACTCGTTGGCCAACTGGTTCACAACAAATTGGTGTCGACTGTCCAAATCGTTGAGCTCTTTTCTGGCCCGATCTAATTTCTTGCGCAGTTCAGCCACTCTATCGAATATGTAGACAAATCCCGGTTCCCTTAATTCTGTTTCGGGATTGTAATCACGAATCTCAATGATCTGATTGGTTGCTGTGGTTCTGATTATGTTTAGAACAACTAAAGTAACGATAGAAGTCATGGCATTAGTGATATGGCGTTCAGTCGGACTCTTCCTATTTAACCAATTGTCTGATTCCGGATCAATGACATATACACTCAATGATAACCACATAGCAATTAGTTGACAAACGAGAATAACGACTGAAAAACAAGCCATTAAAGCGGGTCTACCGGTTGCTCTAATAAACTGGACAAACCTATTGCTTTGGATATATGTGATATTCGGGTGACGAAACACTTGTCTACAGCCGCCGCACACGTTGTTTTGGTTGCGTACAAATGTCAACTGTTTGCACATACATTCAAAGTGATGTCCATCTGTACAGTTGCACACGTGCTCTAATGGCATGTCTTCGTAGTTGTAGTCATAACAGAACATACAACGGGGTGTGGAGTCGCCAACATTTACCTGTTGTTGTTGGTCTTGTTGTTGTTGTTCTCCATCAACAGGTTGTGGTGGTAATGGTATCAGTTGGTCATCAGCTGCTTCTTGATTACCATTAATCCCGAAGTTTGTCAAAATCTCGTACATCTGACTCATAATAATATTCCAAATGTTTAACTCTTCATTCGATAATTCGATGTCTTCTTCATTTTCTCCTCCATCTTCTTGTTCATCAATTTCATCGACATTTTTACCCCAAAAAGCATTCCTCAAAATACCTCTATCTTTACCACTACGACCTCTGATATTTGGTCCCCTTTTCTTTTTGTTGTGTGTCTCCCTTTTTCTTGTCATTGATTTTTTTCTAATTTATATTTTTAAAAATACTGACAACAATATTTGGATATATTTTTTTTATTCTGTCTCTAAAAACATTTATAATTTTGTTTATATTGCAATCAAAGAAATGTTATTTCTATCGGAAATTTTAAATCATTATTGAGCACCGGTAGGTTTTAGGAACAGGTAGTCTGGTGCTGTGGAAATGCATTTTTCTATATAATGTAAAATAAGTATTTTATTTGTTTAATTCAGTTGACAATGACTTTACCACTCAAACTCTTTGAGGTATTGATCGTCTTGTTCTTCTTGATCTTCTTGTTGTTGTTCTTCTTGCTGTTGTTGTTGTTGTTGTTCTATTTGTTGTTCCATTTGTTGTTGTATTTGATTAATAATTTCTTGTAATTCTGGATATTTTGTTAATAGATTTTCTCTTG